TTTTTTAATGGAATTCTGACAAGGGCTTCAGGGTTCATCGATAACCTCAGGCACGAACTAGATGATGACACCGGAGGTCATTTGGCGTTCAAGATTGTTGACTCAAATAGCAACCACCTTTTTTAACAGGCGGTGGTGTGAAGTTCCAGTCTACATCAAACTGCATTTTCATGTTTGAAGGCAAGACATTGATAATCCGTCGAAACTAAAATCTTTCAGTCGTCCACAATTTTAAGATGCTCGTTCTACAGCAATATTTAATATCTAAACTGAATTAACATCTTCCATACAATTAGGATTCACCAGACAAGCATCCGCCCGCTATACTTCGCCCGTCGCAGCCACATCAAAGATGCCGCCTTTGTTTGAAAAAACAACGGCGCAGCGCTTTGCGGCATTTCATCACACACAGCAGCGAATAGGGGCGCCCTTCCACTTGGAACTAGAGCTAAAGAAAACTGCTGCGGGTGAGCACTTTGAAGCAGTAATTAGCTCAGGAGGCGGAGCTAGCAGGCTCTGATAATTTCTTCTAGAATAAAGCTCTCGTAGTCCGGGTATCTATACCAGGGGTTCCAAAACTTTTCTCTGGTTCTGGTCTTGGATCTGATATTTTGAATGTGGGGTTTTGAATTCACATTCGAAAAAACCTTGAGATAAAAATGCAGGCCGAATTATTTCCATTTTGTCGCCCAGTACAATTTTTGATCCCCTTCTTTACCCGTACCAATTCTCGATGTGCAACAAGTTCCCAAGCCAATATAAATTGGATGTGGTAATATTTTTTATAGACGAGTCCATTAAATATGATTGAACAAAAATCTTTTAGGTATCTTAAAAAGTCCTTGATCAAGCTGAACGAATCATCACCAATAATGAAAAAAACTATTTCGCGGAGTGTATTTGAAATAAAGCAAGTCACTTGTCCTTGAATTTCATATCATTTATTTCATCAAGCAATTTAAAATACTCATGTCATGTCCTGAGTCCCGAATAAAGGTGACCTTGGTGGGCGTATAAAACATTTAAACGAGAGTATCTGAGTTGGATAAGTGGTAAAATTAGCACCAAAAATTTTTTGTTCAACCAACCAGTATACACGGGGTACGTTATCTGAACGAGCCAGTTACGTAAATTGTAGGCAACTATAGTTTGCAAAATATCTCACTCCATACAGCGTGATTCATAAATACGGGGCAATAAGTACATTTTTTAGATAAAAGACTACATATTTTGGTTTATCACGAAATGCTTTTTCAAAGAAAGTCTTATATGGCATACTAGTGTTTTGTTTCCTGCTTCTGGAACCACAGAATATTTTTTCTCTGAAGGAACATTTAAACTTGAAAGCTTGTGTCTTGAAAGTTCAGACTTTATAAGATACATAATCATATAACTTTTCTTCATAAAGTTGATTCCGGAATGCGAACTTCAAATTGCGGCCTGTGATCAAATAACACCCTGAGTATACGATGCTTGAAAATGAGGTGACTTAACACCTTTGGTATGAAAACGCTGCCCAACATGATAAAATGCATGACCGTGGCGGGATGTGTAGGGAACGGCTGAGAGGTTTTTTTGTTCATCTAACTGTCTAACTATAAAAAAGTACTAAATGCGTTCACCTAAAGCTCATCCTATGTTTGCAAGAACCGCTTTAATGGGCTTTTTAATAGCCACTTGGTGAAGTAATACTGTAATATAACGAAAGGTGTGCAGGACCTTGAAAATTTATTTTCAGATGAGACCTCACCTAATATGTAATTGCACTCTTTAAGAGTATTTACCTATTGGAGAAAAAGACGCTTCAACATTAAAACTCGCTTATATACTACTAGTAAGGTTTTTTAACTGTCAGTCGCGAAATAACCCAGTCGATTTTTCAAGTCTACAACTCGGCTTAGTTTATTTAGTTATTTAATTGGCTTACACATTCATCATTTAATACCGATAATGTAATTGAAAATAATGACTACAATATTTATGAATAGTAACCATAATTACATCTAACATTTGAATCTAATTAGGTATTGAATTATTTCACACAAAACGTAAAAAGAATTCATCACCGAATCGGTTTAATAATACAGTTAAGATACGGTCCGTAAGATTAAAGGTGTTACACCCAGAAGAAATGATTTCAACATGATTTTTTTGGCAATGAGGTAGCCTTACATCAAGACTGAAATGATAACATTCTCATGAAAGTAACTACAAAAAAAATAATGTGTCGGGCGACCTAGGAGCTGAATATACTCCTGTATACATCTAGGCATCGACAAAATGAGATCATTGATCACATCCCACACATGTTCGATGGGATTTAAATCCGGTGAACGGGGTGACGACGACAAAACATTAACGCCTGCTTCCTGAAGTATGTAGTACGACCAGCAATATGGGGAAGTGCGTTGTCTTGCTGAAAAAGGATCTCTGGACGGCCCTCTAGATACGGCAGTAAAGTGGTTTGTAGGACATAATCAACATAACGGGCTGCAGTCATATTGCCTTGAACAAACAGAAGTGGTGATCGGATACCATTGGCAATAGCTCCCCAAACCATTAATACAATAGTCCTGTGTAGCCTATCAACAGCAAATCCAATATCACGCCGTTCTCCACGGCGGCGTCTTGACCTTCTACGACGGTACGACCATCGTGCGTACCTAGACGTAATCGCGATTCGTCGCTGTACGCCCTCGGTGGATCAGTTGGCCTTCTTCGTGTTCCTTTACCTTCTTCTATCCACACACCCATTACCGTCATTGCAGCAATTAACACGGAGGCTAGTTTCGCGATAGGCAATAATTCTACCGTTGTCTAAGTCGCTAACATGGTGACAATTTGGACGTCTTCGAACTCGAGGCTTTTTGTTATGCTTAACACTAGTAAATGAAAGGGCAATAACTACACATATCTGTACTCAGCTGTCAGAAACTGCTTTCTTCACAAAGCCTAAAAGATAACATTTTAACAAAGGTAAACAAAAACGAAGATAAAACTTTGACGTTGTTGCCACAGCACGCCTTAAACATACTCGTAGTCATTATGTTGCAAAACAAGTTGAAGGAGTTGTTTTTTTTCTGGATCTAACACTTCTAACTTCACTGAATATATTTCGCCGACACTTGAAAACCCTTCCTAGTATATAAACTGTGTTTAAATTTGTAAACGTCTTTTCCTCCGAATTGACTGAGGGTTGCGCATATTCATTCCAAGGGGCGAATGCTCCAAAGGAGTACAATTACTACGCGAAACCTCATCTCAAACGAATTCTGAAGGTCGTGCCCTCCTCTTGTAAGCTTAACACGTATTTGTCCCAAATACTAAAATACACGCAAAGCATCAGTTTCCAACAAATTAATGCAAATATCTTAAATGTGATTATTCCAAGAAGCATCAGCTGTAATCTATTTATTTCGGAACGTTAGGAAAATCATCAGCCCACCAAGCGTCGAGTAAAATGCATTGAAGCATTTCTAATCTAGAGCTCATGTAAATGTGCTATATAGGTAATGAAATATATTAATATCGAGCAGGCTAGGAACAAAACACATGTTGCTGTACAAACTTAATTTCACTTTACTAACAAAATATTATTACAAGAGAATCGTAAAAAAGTCATCTTAAGCTCTTTGGGAGAAAGAATCACTGACTTCTTCTGTTGCAGAGACAACCATTCTTCCTTCCATCATCTTCCTCAATAATCCTTTCTTCACCTTTCCTGTGATTGTAACAGGCAGCTTCTTCACAGCAACAATGCCTCCTCTGAGCTTATAAATATCATTCATATCTTCATCCACAAATTCCTTGATCTCCATTAGATCCACGTCAGTACGACCGTCAGACAACTCCACTAGCGCTAAAGGGTGCTCTCCATCAGCGGGATGTGGTTTACCAACCACAGCTGCTCTTTTGACAGCCGGATGTGATTTAAGTTTTGTTTCCAATATTCCAGGTGCAACATGCCATCCTTGGTAGACAATGATGTCTTTGATACGCCCTTCGAAATAGAAGCAAAGATCTTCGTCATACTTTACCACGTCTCCGGTTTTAAACCAGCCATCGCTGTCCAAATGATCCGAGTTAGGCACTCTGTAATAGCAATTGAGGATGTTTCTAGATTTAACACGTAGTTCACCAGCTTTATTTGGGCCCAGACGTTCGCCTGTATCCAGATCGACGACCTGAAACGGGTATCAATTTAGTGATAGGTTATGGAAACGTTAAAAACATCGCGCTTTAAGATCCAAACACACGACTTTTTTTCATCTTAAATTTCTCAACTGTTATTTTTACGTTAAAATACATTCTTGCCGCAAGTTGACCCCTTTAAAAAATAAGTAGCAGTAGTAAATAGGGGAGAACTTTCTTAAAAGTACTGTATAAAAGCAGCTGCCGGCAGCTGCTGAGCCCTCTTAATCTCGTTTTCAATTATTACATGGTACATTTCGGGAGGAACATTTTGAATAGCCGTGCGATATTGATAATTATCTGCTGTATGGTGCTTCTAGTAGGGGATTTGTGGCATTTTTTTATCTCCACAGAAGTATAATTAATATATATACGAGTATATATATATATATATATATTGCACCCTTGCTACAAAAATGACACAACTCTAAAAACTAAGTTTTTGGCAAACCGAAGAAAACTGTTTTCTACACTCTAAATATTTTTTATAAAAATACATTCGTTCGGATAAATAGTATAAGTAATAAAAATACTTATGCTATACTATATTCTCTATTCAAGGCTGGTATGCTTTAACGAAAAGCCTTTTTCAAGTTATATCACTTTTGATGATTGATTTTAACAAAAATCCTGGAATTATATCCAAAACCGACAGTTTAGTTGGGAACTGAAAAGGAACAAAAGACTTTTGTTGTTCGATATTATTAAAAATAATAAGAAAAGAAGTATAAGATTTATTAATAGTTTTTACCTGAAAATAAATCGATAGCATTATACTATAGACATATTATTATTTTCTTACACAAAACATCGAAAACATATTGATTTGGCCCTAAATACTGAACAGGTACTCCTATTTTTATACAAGAAAAACACAACATACAGAAACTCATAATAAGGAAGAATAAGAGGCTTGCATTTAAATTAAAATAATTTTCAGTCTTCATAACTAAAAAACTCCTTCACAAGGTTTGAACTGAATTAAATCCTAAGTACATTTTTATAAACAGAGGATAATATTTTTTTAATTGTTCCCTTATCAGCTAGTTCCTGTAAGTGCTGTTTTTTAAGTTACTCAATGGAACCTTATGAGAATAAGCTTGCACTAAGCTAACCGAGTCTGTATTATGCTCTTGGAATCTAGTGTTTTTCACATTATTCATATCGACTTTTCTGAATTCCTCTTGTTCATAGGACGTTTTATAGAAGAATGTATCCGAGTATTCCTTACACACTTTAAGTATTTTAATGTCATTGCAGCTAACTTTTCCTTTTTCAGTATCTGTCGTAAAGTTTTTTCGCCACTGTTCATGTAACGCTTTTAAATCGTAGAAATGTTCAAAGGTAAGCTGGTGAACTCTGTAAGGGGAACCACTTTTTTTTCCTGTTCCAATTAGTGTTTCATACTCATCAGGCACGTAAATTGGTCTAGATTTGAGATATTTCATAATTTGCTTCTCAATAATACTATGTACATTATCCCGCTCATTTTGAGAATGCCCCTTTATTAAATATTTATGGGTGATACTGCGGATTGGCAGTTTGTTTACCGCGTATGAGTAGGCGGTGACTAAATAATTATTCTTCTGCTGACCACAACAATTGTCTGAATATAATATTACATCCAAAGGTTGAGCAGTCTTACTTTTCTCAACAAGCTGTTTGAGGTAAAAAAGTACGCAGCCTCCAATTTCAATCGCTCCACGTTTTCCTTCAGCCTCATTCCAAAAGTAGCAATTGACGTTTTTTGCATATAAATCGCTTATAGTAAAATAGTAACAATTCAGTTTAGTCTTACAATAGAAGGAGGAGATCTGCCCTCTGGGTACCGGTATTACTGCCTTTAGGTCATAAACTGCGACGATTGAGCCATTTGTAATTTTTTTATCACCTTCCTTCTCTAGACGCAACAGCTTCTTTCCTTTCATGTGGAGATTGTACTTGTCCATCAATTTTTGTTTGCCTTCATCATCTGCATTTGTATAGGAAAAGCAAAAATCGCACTGATCTTTTTTGGGTATATAAAATGAAATGTTATATTCGGCATTGAATACGATTAAACATCACATAATTGGCGTACGGAAGTTGTTAACTTTTCCGATCTTATTTATAATCTCTATACAAGTTTTTACTACTATCAATATATTCTCGAGTAGTTTGAGCCCTCAGATAATGCGATTCAATTCCGGGTATGGCATTTATAAATTTTCTCACGGTATCTTCAATTTCGGGATTCACCTGTGGTTGTTTACCATGTTTTCCTCTTTGATCAGTGATAATAAAACCCTCATCGGTTCGTTTTTGTAGAGCCGTACGAATAGGACGATCGTTAATGTTGAGGGTGGGCTTAAAAAACATCTTGCATACCCTAATGCGATTTCCGTTGAGATTGAAATAAAATGCCGAATTCATTTGTCTATAATTTTCCGTACATGAATAACGGTATTTCGGTTTTATAGATTCAGTATGCCTCACTATAAATTCTCTTTGTTTTTGTAAACGCGCAAGTTCCCAATACCCAGAAAAAATAGCTATCCAGAATTTCTTAACAATTTAGTTTTTTTAAAGACCAGTTACCAACATCCTGTTTTATTTTTTTGCCTTTTGTAACTTCTATCTCTGCTAAGCTTCCATTTATAACTTCTTCTGTACTCTTCGTTGAACTTTTTCTTTTCTTTTTAAATGAACAACTGTAGGACGATCTATATTACAAGACACTGTGTAATAGTTCCATCCAGGCTGAGGACTGTTGCTTGTAGCCTCTTCGAAAATGTTTTCTGACCGAAGAGATTCTTGAGTTACGGTCTCCATCGTGAAGTTTTCTTGAGGCAAAGCCATTACTGCATCTTGAGGCTGGTGATTGGTAGTATTACAATGTTATATAATTATCAAAAAGTTGGAAGGCTTACGTAGTTAATTCGTTAGTGTTTCGTTAAATTTGTTACAACAAAAGTGACATAAATCAAAACATATTACAACAAAAGTGACCTAAATCAAATTATATTTGAACATTTGTGTTACTTTAAGCAATTAAAGTGACACAACTTTATATAAAACCAATTTTACTACAGATTTCTATCCTCTTAACTGACTGAATTCAAAATATTAGAAGAACTATACTCACCGTTATTCATCAAAAATGACACAAATCAAAATAACACGGTTTGAATGCATTCACGTAACTCCTTTACTGTATTGAAGACAGGGTACAATTGAAAATATCTCTGTTTAGCCGGAGATACTAATACAAACGGAATCTGCAAAAACGATACATATGCCATCTGGCGGTCAATGGACAAAGATAATTTATTACTCTTTTGCTGGAAGGTAAACCATTATTTTCACATGTGATTGATAGTAACAACTCAAAATTCACACTTTTTGAGTTGTGTCACTTTTGTAGCAAGGGTGCAATATATAAATAACAAAAAGTAGGAAAATAATGGGCAGAAAATTCAGTATGATATGTGTATCTCCTTTCTGAACAAAAGTTCTCATGGGACCAAAGCAATGCTCTGATTAATTTCTGAAAAATGGGGGGACGAATTTTGTCCGACTTGCAAAAATGTTGAATGTGCTGATTGTAAACCCCGGACCACAAACTCGGAAATTTGTTACCTACACTGAAATAAATATTTCATTGAAACCCCTGTAGGAAGGTGTTGGAAGGTGAAAGCAAGCCTCTGTTTACCTTCATCATAACACCAATGCCCTCCACAGGCACGCCAATGCTTTCCGGATGCCGCTCCATTAATCGGAGATGCCGCTGGTTACCGTAGGTAAAGTGTGTACAAATTCCGGTCTCTGTTAGACCGTAGATCACAGGAATGTCAGCTCCGGGGAACATTTCCTTGAAGGCACGTTGGTATCGAACTGGCAATCTGTCACCGACCACACACAGGGCTCTGACGCTGTCTACGTTTACGTTCGCAGGCCGCTCCGAGCCGTACAGCTCCTTTACTTCTTTCACGTCAAAGAATAACATCGTTACCTGGCGGAATCAGTTTATTTTCAAATACAATATTGGCTTACAAACCTCCTACTTGATTTAAGTAATAATAAATAAACTGATATTATCCTTCTGAAATTTTTGAACAGCTTTCAGTTGGGACTTTCCATCACAGAGTAATAAGGAATTGTTCCTAGTAAAACATACCCTATATTATTAAGCTCCAAAACATTTGAACGAGCTAGCCCAACTTTGCATCCTGCATGAAAATATATGGTGTTTTGTGGTACGATGTGCGACAGTTGTGTTGGTTAACCTAGCTTATTTGTAAATCGACCGTTTTCTTGGATGATTTCGTCCTGAGCCGGGTAGGTTTCTTTATATTGTGCAAAGGTCGTAGATATGGATACAGTGGAACACCTAGACTGCCCCAAATGTTGTAAAAGATGCAATATTAACCCCTACAAGCATCAACTCACAATGTTCAACCCTTACAATTTTTTTCTGTAAATGATCAGGAGCCGCTGGAACATCAAAAATTGAAATATGATCAACTTTGATTTATTCCTAGCTCCGCCGTCACTAGAAAGATTTTTGGTCTTTGGCATAGTAGTAACCTTTTATGAAAATTTCCAGTAAAACCCGACCGGTACTTTCCAAGTTACATCGGGTAATATGGACCGCAATGAGATATACAGGTATACTTCATCGCGCGATCACACCTTACTCAGGTCACACTCAGCATTTAACCGTTTTGTGGGTTACACGGCAGTCGTAACTCGAGGCTCGTAGCGTAGAGTTTTAGCTTAACAAAAAGTTTGGCATGATTATTGTATTTAACAGTTGCGAATTATTACCGGAACCAGACGGTTCTTAGAATAGGGCGTATTTCACTGATAATAAAAATGAAATACTTACAGCCTCCCCACCCCTGGCAATCTCATTCCCCACAAAATTATTTCTAAAGATCATGTGTAGCCGCTGAAGCATAAAAAAACAAAATTTGGGCGATTTTTATCTGTCTCGCTTTTTATCCCCAGCTCCGCCTCCACTGGATGGATTTTCAAGAGCTACGAAGCTTTTTTGTCCCTGGCATATTACCAGATTTCATCAAAATGCGAGCTGTACTTTCCAAATTATAGAAAACGATAGGCAGTCCCACTGGAAAGAGTGCTATAGTTTTTAGTGATGTAAAATCCAAAAAACATGATATCTCATTTTGGAAATGTTTCGTTTTTACAATACTTCTTTGCCAGTGAAAATCGAATCAGTAGTGGCAAATTTGTGACCAAAAAAGTAACGAGACATTGTAGAACGTGATATTTTTGGAGACGCTTTTTAGCCGTAGTAGATACATCTTTGGAGCAGTCAATCTTTTATAAAAATCCCAATTCTTGCTATTCGTCGAAGTTTAAACTTTTTGGCCATTCTGGCGCGTAGAATAGAAACTTTAGGGGGCCCAGAATTATTGAAATATATTCGATTTATCAGTATAATGATGATTTGAATTCCAGTCTACTCGAAGTGTTAAGTATTCTTGTATCACTGCCTGGGAAGTATTGAATTCATCTACTTGCCTCCATCTTTAGTGCCTACAGCTATACGGAATAAGGTTGTGAAGCTGTAAAAAATTTCTTTTGTTTCGTTCAGACTCTCTTTTTACGTCTGTTATGTTTTATTACTTTCAACCGAGCTTGCTGAAAAAGATGTGGCACCAATCTTACGGGAAATAAGCTTTGTGTGTGTTTTTAGGACTGTTAAATTTTTTATACGGGTTTCAAAACTTTTCATTACAAAAGTTTTATTATTTAGCTCCAAAAGTCAATGTTGAAGTTAAGATGGAGAGCGATCTTCTGTGTAATGGGAATAATCTAGAAAGCTGACGCTAGTTAGGTCAGGGGTCATGTCTGAGGTTATAAACAGTCGAAGATGTGATTCTGTTCAGGTCTATTGACTAAAACGTGATGGAGTCGTGAAAAATAAGTTGCATTTGTTTTGCACATGGAGTGAGACAGAGCTGTCAAATAAGATGACGTCAAAAAGAACAGCTGAGCTAACCTTTATTTAAACATAATTAAAAAATCGCATTCTTTTGATTTACCACGGAAGTACACCCAAAACCAAAGATATTTGCGGTTTGCAGTCTTGAATAGCCTCAATAATGCAATCGTAAGCAAAGTTAAAACTATCACGGTGAATTTTACACATAAACAAGACGTGCAATAAGCTGAGCAAACTAAAGTGATGTGGGCGTATCTGAGATTGTATATGGAACGAACGCGAATGTACTATCTTTCTATAAAATCTGTCCTTTATTCATCTATTTTTGTTAGTTTGACCTCCAACCAAATAAGCTCTGCCTAGCAGGAGCATAATTGGACATCGCCTCCATCGACATTTCAATTATTTTCAAAGCATGTACCTTATACTTATCGATCATCGTCCAGATTTCCTTGATGTCAAACGTGGGACTGATAATCCTAATGCCATGATCTTTCACAATTCCCACTAGTTTCCATGTCTCCACTAACCAGTAGTAGTTGTCGAAACCCAGTATCACCATAGGCTCATCTTCTGATCTAGGGATGCCTTTCAACAATATTTCATCAAATATGGACACATGACTCAGACATATTGCTTTTGGATACCCAGTGGATCCACTACTGAAGAATATTGCAGCAGTTTTCTGAAGGTCTTCTACAAACACTGGCTGAAACGAGGATTCCTCATCTCGAAATTCCAAGAAAGCTTTTTCTTTCTCCAGGACTATGATATCAATGTCTAGTTCTATACTTTCTAATACCCTTCTTAGTGTATCCATTACCTCTTGGTCATCATAAGTAACAATTATTTTTGGCTGGCATAGCTTTATTTGATGCATGATCTCTTGTTCATTGATGGCCGTGTCCATGAATGAAGGAATCGCACCCATGAAGTAAGATGCTATACAAGGCACGCATGAGTTAAGTTGGATATTGAAAAAAGCTGTGACGACGTCCCCGTGCTTGATGCCATGCTTCTTGAGTAGCAAGGAAGTTCTAATGCATTTTGTGAGTAAGGAACTTGCTGTTTCAGTTTCACCAGTTCTTCCATTTATCTAAAATTAAGAGTGTATTCCAGAGAATATTTAGGTTTTCCAAATAAAATTGACAAGTTACTATACTTGGGAAAATGTTTTAGCGAACACGAAGCATGAGATTTGCGATATCTATTACCTGTATTTTCCATAACGCATTCAGGCAAAGCAGGTTCAATGTTTCTCACTTTATAATTTATATTTTTGGGAGTATTAAAATATCCACGATAGTCATTGTGGAGGCAATACAATATCACTAAACTGAAACATCAAATTTTGTGGCAATAGCTCCAGTAATTTTTCAGTACGGCAAGTGGTTTCTTCTGGCTCAAACCACTTGCTTCGGTATAAAGCAATTTGCTGAAAATTACCCGGTTATTTGCTTTGATGATATCACATGGCCATCGTGATCTCCAGATTTGACATCCATTGACTCTTTTTGTGGGGTACTCCAAGAGCAATGTTTACGTCAATAGGAGTAGGGATATCGATCGCTTCGCATCGATTGCTATGCTCAAAAATGCCATGAAAAGGCCCCAGGAGTGCATGAAATGAACCTTTAATGTGTATAATGTTTTTAATATAATATCATACCCTAAATCTTCCGCGTCACATAACAGAAAATATACTAAGTGATATATAAATCCGAACACCCAGTTTAAATGGTTTTATTTTAATAAAAGTTGGTGAATGTATTTATCTTACTGTAAATAACAAGTGAAAAAATTTTCAGCCTTATCAGTTGGACATTCCGGTTATTATACTGCCTTTTTTTAATTCACCTACGCTCTAAAAATGAATATTTCAGCCGCAGTAAAGAATCAACGTTGGCGGATTTTGGTTCTTGACATCCTTTACGATCGGTTACGATGCCTAGAGTACGGAGACCTGTACGATTTCGTCAACTTAGTGAGTTTGATAGGGGCCGTATAGTGGGACTTCGGGAAGCTGGACTTTCTTTTCGGGCAATTGCAGTTTGAGTGCAAAGAAGTGTAGACACTGTGGTTAGGTATTGTCAGGCATGGCTTCCAGAAGGCCGTACGCAAAGAGCAAGGGGCACTGGACGCCGCCGTAGAACAACAGACCGTGAAGATCGCCGCCTAAGGTTATTGGCCTTAAGGGACCGTTTCTCCACTACCAGGTCCATTGCAAATGAATGGTTTGCAGAACACGGAAGACCTATTGACATGCGAAGTGTTTACCGACGAATGAGAAGTTTTGGCTTGTTTTCATACCGGCCACACTGGGTTCTCCCTTTAACTCGAGAACACCGACGTAATCGCCTTGAGTAGTGCAGACAACGGTCACTCTGGGATCAGGAATGGAACAGTATTGTCTTTAGTGACGAGTCTCGATTTTGTTTAGGCATGCACGATGGTCGTGCCAGGGTTAGAAGGCGACGTGGTGAAAGGAGGAATCCACAGTTTTTTGTTGAAAGACATGTTCATCACACTGTTGGAGTTATGGTTTGGGGTGCTATAGCTTATGGTTCCAGGTCACCTTTAATCTTCATCAGAGATAACATGAACGCGCAGCGTTATATCCACGAAGTTCTAGAACCCCATCTTTTACCCTATCTTGACACCCTGGCAGATCCAGCTTTCCAACAAGATAATGCCCGACCACATGTTGCAAGAGTCACAATAGACTTCTTTCAACATAATGATGTCACATTGTTACCATGGCCACCAAGATCTCCAGACTTATCCCCAATTGAGCACGTGTGGGATATGATGGGTAGGAGATTGCTCAATTTGCAACGTCCTCCTCAGACTCTAGAAGCACTTCGAGAGGAGTTGGTGGTTGCGTGGAATGATACCACAGGAGGACATTGACCACCTGATCAGAAGCATGTCTAGGCGCGTTGGAGAATGCGTAGCACTTCAGGGTGAATCCACACACTATTAAAGGTCAAAGGGCTTTAAAGCAGTGCAATCATTTTGAAATTTTTATCATTTACTTATTATGCTTCATTAAGCACTTATACAAAGTTTTATTAAAATAAAACCATTTAAACTGGGTGTTCGGATTTATATGTCACTTAGTATAGTTACAAATGTGTCAATTTTAATGGGTTCTTGACAAACAACCTGTTTACAGATTAGACGGCAAGCAACAAAAACTATTGTTCCGTGGTATAGTGAAATGAATATTTCACAAAGTATCAGGTTAGACTATGAATAATAATTAATGTCGCATCTACACACTGGGCAAACACATTGGAGTCAACTTTGGTGCCAGCATGGTACCACATGCTAGAAATATGAATAAAGTATTTTCGAAACAAAAAGTTCGTGTAGCACATAAATCTGCTGTAACAACAAAAAAATATTTTGAAACTCAAAACTCCCGATCAAAAAAGATCTGCAAAGCAATTTGATTTAATGTAAAATGTAATTAATTAAGTCTTTCTGTATATTAATCTTACATTATTAATATTTTTTTTAAGTTGTAATTTCTGACGATTTTGTTTAGTTCTAGAAACTCATGAAATAAATGTTGAGTAGACCAAATCTCAAGAATCTATAAATTGAATCGAATAGATTTGAGCGAAAAAGAAGAAAATATTTAAAGTCTTATTTTTCATTTCGGTATATTAAAAGAGGATAAGCGATTCAGTTATTATTTACAATCTTTCGAAATGCGTCAAAATTTTGTGCCATTCGTCATACGTACTTATTCATGTTGTGTGATCACTATTTCTGCCTTTGCCGTTGTAGGTAAGTCTTGTAGAGAACCAGAAACTGTTACAGAAAACTGCTTCAAACTTTGTAGCTTATCGAATTAGCAACTACCACCTTGTACGAAAAATTATAAATGACCTTTTTGCGACTTATTAAACACGGATAATCCGATTAGGCCTAAGCTATTTTACCTTTTACTATATACCCACTGGTATCCATATAATCGAGTTAATCCTAGTAATAATCTTATTGCACATCAAATAGATTTCACAAATCTGTCTTGTGTGTTAAGTTCTAGTACCACCCTTAATCAAAATTCTGAATTTGTTAGTTATATGAAAACATGTTTTTATTTTCCTGATAAGATGAAAATTTTATCTTGAGCACCTTCATATCGCAGACCAGTACTTATCCTATTTATCCGCATTGTGCGTGGCCTGATTTTTTGCCGCCGTATAGATAGATATTTATTGGACTGATCAACCGATGATGTTACTAAGTACGTCATTAGCAGCAACAAACACTTATGCGTAGTGGAGATATCCTATTTTAATGATCTCAATATCTTACTTCTATTTTGATAGTGATAACGTACCTGTTGGGGAAGTTGAGGTAAAAAAAAACATGTTTAGGTCTTGAATATTTGGGTGGAAATGGATCAAAAAATTATTATACAAGTTCAACTTTCGTGTTCATTATTTTGTTCAAAAAGCTAATTGGTCATAATAACGTAAAAAACCTTCAATTGTCATTAGGCAGCGTCGCGAGGAATGTAAATGAAATTTAGTCTTAGTTTCAATGCGTTATTTAGTAATGGTGGGAAAAGTTATTGAAAGAAGTGTACTTTTGGCTCTGAAAAAACAGCAAATAGAATTTTCGGATCTTCTTGACCTTATAGCTTTTCCAGACCTTTCGGTATGGTCGGATATGAGAAATATTACCAAAACCTGATTTACCCATTGAATATATCAAAAATAGTGGCAGCGTATTTTTCCGAAGATAATACGTAAACAACCTCGTACAGCGGAAAAAACCTTAAATTCTTTTTCAGTTTTTTTGAAGCAGTGTGATTCGAAAAATGTCTGACCCAATACAAATTAAACATTTTTATAAAGGGTGTTCGACAAATTGACGGCAATATTTTAGAGAGCGATTATTAGTTAAGAATAAAACAAAAGTTTCTATAAACGTGAGGCCGGAAATGCAGAGTTTTCAAGGTACAGGCTGATAAATTTATTTTTTTATCAATACCTTAAAAAACTTAACCGATTCTGTTGAAATTTAGCAATATTATTGGTTGTATCAAGAGGCTAATCAAGCCCTAAATAGATTAAAATGATTAGGTCCAGTGGCATCCCGGGGGCAGCATAGCGAACATTATTGGCAAACAAAATGTACTCCACTGCCTTTTTTGTAATCTAAAAATAGGTGTACAAATTCTTTGCCGTTTGTATTTTTCTCGTATCTACATCGTTTTTGAGATAAAAAAATAAAAGCCGCTTTATTGCATGTCACTGGACAAGACTGGTTTATTAATTTTTGCTAAAAAAATCACAAGTGCCTTGGAAAACAAAAAAAGAAAAATAGCCTCTCAACACAACTGAAAATATTGCCAAATTTCATTACACAATCGAGTGAATATTTTTTAAGATATGAATAAAAAATGATCTTGAAAAATCTTCATTTCCAGACCCATATTTATGGATAAAGATTTTTTTAAGACGAAGTCACTCTCTAAAATATCTCCTTGTATTTTTCGAACACCCTGTATGTCTCTCAATACCTTGCTAAATGTCTTCATAAATTTCCGGTTCATTTCGATACCTGAATGCAAATCTAAGAAGAAGATAAAACCTAAACAGGCTTCGGGGCCCGCAGCTAGGAATACATTTTTGGACTCGGCATCCTAGTCGCCTCATATTTCGAACCCTAGCTAAATACTTCTTTATCATTAGAATGTTAGAGGTGACGGTCGATAACCCTCAATTCTAAAATATTCCAAACTTTGAACATAGAAATTAGAAACTGGTTTGCAAGTTTTGGAATTAATAAATAACCTAACCATAAAAATTGGCAAAGTTGCCCAAAATTTGCACCAGCATCTTGTTTCGTTCGTCTCCCTTCATACATGCCACTAATCATTTTCTGGCTCTTGTAACCAAGATGGTTCAGCGCACATGTTGGCCAACCCCGGCCAATGTGCGTTGATTTATCCTCCACACAATGAGGATGGCCTAGGTTGGCCCAACGTGTGGATGCGACATAACACTCATACTAAGTGACATATAAATCCGAACACCCAGTTTAAATGGTTTTATTTTAATAAAAGTTGGTGAATGTATTTATCTTACTGTAAATAACAAGTGAAAAAATTTTCAGCCTTATCAGTTGGACATTCCGGTTTTTATACTGCTTTTTTTTAATTCACTAACGCTCTAAAAATGAATATTTCAGCCGCAGTAAAGAATCAACGTTGGCGGATTTTGGTTCTTGACATCCTTTACGATCGGTTACGATGCCTAGAGTACGGAGACCTGTACGATTTCGTCAACTTAGTGAGTTTGATAGGGGCGGTATAGTGGGACTTCGGGAAGCTGGACTTTCTTTTCGGGCAATTGCAGTTTGAGTGCAAAGAAGTGTAGACACTGTGGTTAGGTGTTGTCAGGCATGGCATCGAGAAGGCCGTACGCAAAGAGCAAGAGGCACTGGACGCCGCCGTAGAATAACAGACCATGAAGATCGCCGACTAAGATTATTGGCCTTAAGGGACCGTTTCTCCACTACCAGGTCCATTGCAAATGAATGGTTTGCAGAACACGGAGGACCTATTGGCATGCGAAGTTGCATTCGTATTCTACTGCTCGGAATACGTACAGTGGACCGATTAGCGGGACGCTGTTTATGTATCTTTATTAGGTTAATTAAAGTGTGAAAATTTTGTGAAAACGTTCCTTAGCCAGTGTTCATGGACAGTGACTTCCTCGACCAAAGGGTTTGTGAATTGCAGTGATGCTTACAGTTGTATTTGATATTTTCCTTAATACCAGGTAGTTTAAGTCTATTTTTGCTTATCACTCAGGCAACATTTCTTATGCCATCCTAGATATTCAAACTATTCGCTTCTTAATCTTTTCATATAGTCCAGTAGAATCCGGTCCATACATCAGCTATGGCGCCAGATGTGGACGTCTGTAGTGTATGCAATGACAATTTCATTGTTAATACTAAGGTCATCAAATGCGATCTGTGCTGCCTAAAATTCCATATTTCATGTGCTTCAATTAAAGAAAACTGGTTAAAAATTATTGCCGATAACGATAACCTGCTATGGTTTTGTGATGAATGTAAAAAATCCGTCCCGGCTAAATGTAGTGAGACCAAAACGCGTATTGCTATCCTGGAAAAGGAAGTCGAATGTCTCAACAGAGAGCTGACGCTAACAAAAAAGCTTGCAAATGAACTTGAATACTCAAATAATTTGCAAAAGGCTATGCTGAAATCATTTGATAAGACTTATGCTTCAGTTACTTCCCAACAGAGCAGCAACGTAGTTCTTCAGGCTAGTGCTAATAAGAGTACATCTAGCGATGCGTTAAAAAGGACTGTGAAAGACAAGGCACCAGTTCTTATTGTCAAATCATCTCCTGAGTCTGCTAATAACATTGACTCCTCCAATATCATGCGTGAGATTGCGGCATCTGTTAATCCATCTAGCTTAAATGTCTGTATTAACAACACTCGGAAAATAAAGAATGGTATTGCTATACACTGCAAAGATGATGAATCTCTCAATACTCTTAAAAATAACTTGGATACAAAATTGGGAAGAAGATTTGTCATAAGCGAAGCTAAAAAGCTGAATCTGCGACTTTTGATAAAAAATGTTAACCTAGAGGGATTAAACACTCCTGACGACATTATATCTAGTATTATGGCGTTGAATGATTTAAGCAGCTTTGAAAGGGCCAACTTTAAATTTGTGACTAAACTGAAGCACTTCAATAGTACGAATATAGTTATTGAAGTTACTTCACCTGTCAGGCGAGCGATTTTGGAGAAGGGATATATTTTCATTGGATGGAAGAGATCTACAGTTCAGGACCATATACATTTTGTGAAGTGTATGAAATGTTGTGCCTTCGGTCATATAGAGAATTCTTGCAATGCGGAGCTGGTTTGCCCTCGATGCACAAGAAACCATAAATTGAAAGAATGTAAATCCGATGTGTTACAATGCATTAATTGCCTAAACTATAATCGATCCAACAAAAAGAGTATACCTACTGATCATTCTTCCAATTTTAACGGTTGTACTGTGTATCGGCGTTACGTTGAAAGTATGCAAGAAAAAATTAGTTATGAATGAAACAAATAACCTAAAATTATGTCATCTTAATGTTCGCTCGTTAACAGCAGATTTTAATAATTTTGTTCATCTGATCAATGATCAGTTTGATTTAGTCGGAGTAACAGAAACCTGGTTGAATTGCAATATTCCTGATCGCGATGTATTGCTTAATGGATATACATTTTTTAGGAAAGATCGTTCTGACAGGGGAGGTGGTGTCGGGTTATACGTAAAAGTAAATCTCACATGTCAACTGCTAGAACTAGATTTTGCTGTTAATACCTCACTTGAAATTATGAGCTGCAAATTGGTCGCAAATAACCGCAACTTTTTAGTCATTGTTGTATATCGTCCGCCTCATTGCTCCATGAATCAATTCATCCAAGTTCTTGACAACATACTCTCATTTTTCACTCCACAGTATGAAAATATAGTGTTTCTTGGCGACATGAATGTTGATTTACTTAATCATAACAATATTCTTAGTAATTGTTTTGATTCCTATAACTTTACTCAAGTTATCAATGAGCCAACTAGAATTACGCAGTTCAGTTCTACATTGATAGATCCTATATTCATCAATGCTGGGGTAATGTTAAACAAATCTGGAACGCTAAATGCTGATATCATTTCAGATCATAGGTTGGTATATTGTGAACTTCTCGTGACTATTCCTAGACCAGAAGCAAAGTTTTTGACATATAGAGATCTAAAAAATGTGAATATTGAGCTGCTTAAAGAACGATTAACAACTTTGCATTTGGATGATGTTTTCTATGTACAAGACATTGATACGAAAGTTTCAATTTTCACTGAGCGTTTGATTCACTTATATAATGAACTTGCCCCAATCAGGTCTGCACGCATTACCAAAGCTGCTGCTCCTTGGTTGACATCAAATCTAACGCGTATACTTCGTTTGCGAGACAATGCGTTTCGGGCATATCAGGAAAATAAAACAGATCAAAATTGGCGGACGTATAAGGACCGTAGAAATTTTGCACTGGCCTCGATTCGCAGAGAAAAGAAGGCATATTTAGCCCAGCTGGATATTTCGAACTCGGGAAAGCTGTGGAAAAATTTGAGAAGTATGAATATCTGTCAGCAGAAACGAATTGAGATTCCTGATAGTTTATCTGATCCAGAGGAAACTAATAATCATTTCCTCTCAAATTTTACATTCGACGATCACTCCAATAATGTAGTTAATAATACAGCCAATTTTTACTCCAACAACCGTTTTGATAATAATTTGACTCCTTTCGCTCTTCATACAGTAACACAAGAAATCGTTCTTGACATCATTTTATCGATTAAATCGACTGCCACTGGGAGTGATGGATTGAATTTAATAATGATACGACTTTGTTTGCCAGAAACACTTGACCACATAACTCACATAGTAAATATGTGTTTAGAGAAGGGCTTTTTCCCAACAAGCTGGAAAGAAGCTGTCATCACACCTATTGCTAAAATCAGAAACCCAGCTGAATACCATGATCTTAGACCGATCAGCATTTTATGTTTTCTTTCTAAGATATTAGAAAAGATCGTCTATCTACAGCTTATTGAGTACCTTGAACTTAATCATATGTTTCCGATACATCAGTCTGGATTCCGCAAGAATCATAGTACTACAACTGCTTTGTTATATATAATTGATAACATAATCAGAAATTTGGATGATCGCATTGGTACAATATTGGTTATGCTTGATTTATCTAAAGCGTTTGATTCTGTGAACCACCGTATACTTTTGAGTAAGTTGAAGTACCTTGGTTTAGGTAATACTGCTCTTATGTTCTTTGACTCTTACTTGTCTAATCGAACGCAAAAGGTGAAAACCAGTAAAGGTGTATCTGTGCCCAAGTATGCTCCTTCTGGAGTTCCACAGGGCTCGATCTTGGGACCTCTACTTTATTTGGTTTTTACGTTTGACTTGCATAACAGTGTTGAGCATTGCGCAATCCAAACTTATGCAGACGATACACAGTTAACATTTAATTTCGACTCTAGCAACTTCAATGAAATTTCTTATAAACTTAATGTCGACTTAGCTAATATTGATAATTTCCGCAAACGGCACTCACTGAAAATAAACCCTAGTAAATCGAATGCTATTGTCTTTAGTCCACATAATTTTCCAGTTAGTGTTGTTGATCTAATCCAACTGTCTGTGAATCATACTGTCATACCCTTAGTTAACGAAGCAAAAAACCTGGGCGTTATTTTGGATAAAGACCTCCGTTTTAATCAGCACGTGAATGCCACCCTTAAATCCACATATATATTGTTAAAATTATTATATTCAAACCGGCACATTCTTAATTTCAAAACGCGGAAAAAACTTGTTGAGAGTCTTGTTATGTCTAAAATATTTTATTCGCTGGTTCTTTATTATCCTTGTATTGATTATAACACTAAATATAGACTGCAGAAAATCCAAAACAGTTGTTGTCGGTTCGTATATGGCCTCAGAAGGTATGATCACGTATCGTCTAAGATAAAAGAGCTAAAATGGCTAAAACTTGATAAACACTATACTTTCTCTTTGGGTGTATTTGTCCATAAATTGATTTCCACAAGGTCACCCATTTATCTTATGGACAAACTTGTACCTCGTGGTCAAGTCATTTCTAGAGCCCTACGACATAACTATCTCTTCGGTATGCCATTCCAGAGAACATGTATATTCCGAAGATGTTTTACGTACAATGCTATCAGGACTTACAACTCTGTCAACCAGGTACTCAAGTCCAAAAGCTTACCTGTTTTTAAAACTAAATACAAATCTGCTCTTTTGGAATTGCCTTTTTAAAAATCCCTGATGATTAGCCGACTGATTTTGTAGCTTTTGTAAATTTTCCATGCTTTATACATTCTGTAATTGTTCATTGTTTTCTTTTTATTTTTCTGTACTGTACTATTGTCCTTATTATTATCATTATTTTTTCACTTCGTTTTTGAGGTTAAGTGGTAGAGTAGCCATGTGGCTAAACTTCGCCTCAATTCGAAGGTTTCAATAAAGACATTTATTATTATTATTATTATTATTAAGTGTTTACCGACGAATGAGAAGTTTTGGCTTGTTTTCATACCGGCCAGACTGGGCCCTCCCTTTAACTCGAGAACACCGACGTAATCACCTTGAGTGGTGCAGACAACGGTCACTCTGGGATCAGGAATGGAACAGTATTGTCTTTAGTGACGAGTTTCGATTTTGTTTAGGCATGCACGATGGTCGTGCCAGGGTTAGAAGGCGACGTGGTGAAAGGAGGAATCCACAGTTTTTTGTTGAAAGACATGTTCATCACACTGTTGGGGTTAAGGTTTGGGGTGCTATAGCTTATGGTTCCGGGTCACCTTTAATCTTCATCAGAGGTAACATGAACGCGCAGCGTTATATCCACGAAGTTCTAGAATCCCATCTTTTACAATATCTTGACACCCTGGCAGATCCAACTTTTCAACAAGATAATGCCCGACCACATGTTGCAAGAGTCACAATAGACTTCTTTCAACATAATGATGTCACATTGTTACCATGGCCACCAAGATCTCCTGACTTCTCCCCAATTGAGCACGTGTGGGATATGATCACCACCTGATCAGAAGCATGCCTAGGCGCGTTGGAGAATGCGTAGCACATCAGGGTGCATCCACACATTATTAAAGGTCAAAGGGCTTTAAAGCAGTGCAATCATTTTGAAATTTTTATCATTTACTTATTATGCTTCATTAAGTACTTATACAAAATTTTATTAAAATAAAAATAAATAAAACCATTTAAACTGGGTGTTCGGATTTATATGTCACTTAGTATATATACTTACCGTTATGATACGATCTCCTTTCTTCTTCAGGTTGTTGAAAAGTACATAACCAACACCACCCAAGTACTGTAGGTTCAAACGTACTTCACTTGTTCTAATAATATTGTCATGGACCATTTCTTCCAATATTGAATGAGATGAAAAGTATTGTTTTCTATATATTCGCTGCGTTATCATATAGAGTGGATGATATGATTTTTTCCCTTTTCTCGTTGTTGTTTGAAAATCAATTGTATGGAATGTCAGTCAACGCTCTAAGTGAGATGGTTCTGCAACCGATCCATATTTTTGCGTAATCAGTCGGCGACAGTGTGTAATAAACTATTTTTCATTCTATCATCTTAGGTAATGAGGTATATATGAATATTTTAATTGCAGTTGTTGATAATATAAACTTTACTGTTTAATTATTTTAAGTGTATACGTTAATTAGTTATTTATCGTTTACATTGCATGTTAACAATGTCCCGCCAAATACTTGTATATGTCTTTATGGTTAATCCCAAATAAATAAATAAACATTTCATGGTAAGCATAGTTGTTAGAATTTGTAAAAACAAGAACTTAGGATTACGGAAAATGGACGGGATTTGGACCTGCACCTTTATGATTCCATCTACAGGATCAACTGACTAATACGCAGAATCGCTCTGGAGGTACGAGTTCAAATCCCAAAGCACCCATTTGTTTCTATGTCTCAAGCTGCTGTTTTTCGAAAATAGACAGCATTTTCAGAAGGTCGATACAAACCCATTAAGGGCTAATGAAACACTTCATTTGGAACGTATAAAGCCACATGACCGCTAATGTCTTTTTCTAGTAGTCTAGCTCAAAATGGTGATTTGTGTTATTCGAAAGAAGCGAAAATTAGTATGGGGGTTCCACAGGGGTCAATCCTTGGACCAATTTTATTTTTAGTGTTCATATATGATCTGTCGAAATCTATTAACTTCATTATTCATGTACGCTAATGACGTATCGGGTATAGTGGCTGACAAAAACATACAACAGTTGTCTCAAAAATCAAATAAGCTTGTAAATAATTCAGCTCAATGGTGAAATGACAAATTACTACATTCGAACATCGATAAAACGAATATTGTATAGCTCAATAACGACTCTACCAAATTACGTTATGTGAAATTAAATGGAAAAAACATAGTCCAAACGAAGCTGAACACGTTCTAGGTGTGAAAATAGACCATTCATTGAACTGGACAGAACAAATAACAACAGTGCTATCAAAAATGAACCCTGCCTGCTATTAAATACACAGTATTAGAGATCACGTTAGTACTGAGGCCTTGAAAATGGTTTACTTTGCTTATGTCTAGTACCATATAGAATAGCATTTTGGTTTCACTCATCGAAATCTGGCGAGGTTTTTATATGCCAGAAACGAACGAACAGCATTAAAATTACCCCAGATGACATCTTGCAGAGAGTACTTCAAACAGTTGAAAATATTGACATTTCCATGTATATATATATATATATATATATATATATAACAACAAGTAGGAAAATAATGGGCAAAATCCGCAAAAAGGAGGACCACGAGCAGAAAATAGGATAGGTAACCCGAGCGATACGTATTTCTGCTGGTTGGCTTCATCAGGCCTGAAATGAATGCACATATGAAACTACAAAAGTAGATACACATGCCCACACATCCTCCTTTTTGCGGATTTTGCCATTATTTCCTACTTGTTGTTATATACTTTTTTCCGCATGATCATATTCTCTATATATATATATATATACTGAGTATATGTATTGATACACAGCAAAACCTCGATAAATACAGGATAAACAGTTAATATTACAATAACATGGTCACTAGAAAGTGTAAGAATCTAAGTGTGCCCCATCATAACACCAGATTATATGAGCAAGGCCCATACTATAACGGTGTAAACATTTTTAATGACTTGACCGTACATATAAAACACTGCACCAAAACCAGTGAAAGCTTATTTAATAGAAAAGGCCTTTTATTTACTGTATGAATATTTTAATTGTAGTTCTTTTGGTTACGTGTGGCAATAATACTTTTAAATATGAAATTGTGTTATCAAGGGGTTTATTTATTCTTATATTGACGTTATCTATGTTTACCACTGAAAACCTGATGACAATAAATTATTATTATTATTATTATTCTTAGTACAAGGTTGAACACGGTTTTTGATCTATTTTTAGTATTTGTCTTGATTTATAGTCTTCCTTTAAAAATAGTTTCCAAATTATGAAAGGATGGGGTACATGTTATAAAAATAATTTTGGTTTACTGTTCGATTTTGCAGTGCTGCGTGGCTCTTCGAGCAAATTTATGGAATATTTTGGCAACAGTGTGAAGTAAAGTCGTTAAAAAGACTCCCTTCACTTCTGTTTCTATTTACGTATGTCATACGTAGCGATACAACCATAATTTTTTTTCAATATCGCAAAACATTAGAACAAGCAGAATGTCATGGAAATTACGAAAAACCTCAAAAGTTATTTTTAGTTTTCTGCCACTATTGCAGAAGGAATAAGTTTTAAAGAAAGTTCTTCGGTTTCAAAGTACGATGTAGCTTTTCTGAATATTCACTGGGATAATTGCGCAAATTGAACATAAAGCAAAAATCTGAAATTTAATGTACAGAAATACAATCAACATTTTCAAGAAGGTTACAAAACTTCCGAGCAATCGACGTATCTTCAAGATATTTGATAAAAACAACACAATAAGGAAGCTGCCCTTCACTATTGAAGAAGATATGGCTTATGGTATGATTTTCACAAATTTGCGAGTAACTTTGTATCAAGGTATACGAGGGATGTCTTTTAAGTTTTGCATATGGAAATAAAACAACACGACAGGTAGTTTTAAGTGACTTTATTTAGTTTTTCGAATTATTCTCCACAAGATTAATACACATATACATGCGCTCGAACCAATTTTCGAAGCACTTATTCCACTAGTTTGCTGGCAGATCCAAAACGGCATTTTAGAATGCGTTAACTGCTTCTTCTGGTGACTGGAACCTTTGCCCACGCAGTCCGTTTTTAATTTTCGGGAAAGTAAAGGAATCGTTAGGACTTAGATCGGGAGTATATGGAGGATGGTCCAATAATTCCACGTTTTCTTCCGTTAAATACTGCCTTGTTTTTCGGGCTGTGTGCGAGCTTGCATTGTCTTGGTGGAGGATGATTCTTCTTTCAGGGTTGATCTTTCGAAGCTCGGTGATGTACTTTCGGCAAATAAATGGTGGTATATCAATCCGCAGTAACAGTTCTCTGCTCATTAAGAGGAATTGTTGCAATATGACCCGCTTGTGATACAAATGTCGAGACCATCTTTTTCGAAACACTTCGAGAACGGATGACTTTTGTTGGCTTTTCTTCACCTTGGAACACCCAAACAGCCGACTGTCGTTTATTTTCTGGTTCATAACAGTAGATCCACGATTCATCACCACTAAAAATGCTGTACACATTTTTAGAGTTCCCGGAATTGAAACAGTCAGGCGTTTTTTGACACCAATTAACCCTGGCTACTCTCTGCTCTTCAGTCAACAGGTGGGGTATCCAACAAGAAACTAATTTTCTTACTCCTAATTCTTCATGTAAAATTTTTTGAATTGAGTTCTTTGAGATCTTCAAGGACGCCTCAATCTCGCGATATGTCACATGTCTATCTTCAATGATGAGTTTGCGCACAGCATCGACGTTTTCCTGGTTGACTGCCGTTTTCGGTGCACCCATCCTGGGATCGTCGCTAAGACTCACCCCTCCACGTTTGAATTCTCTATACCAATGCGAAATTGTCGACTGATGTGGCGCTTCGTTGCCGAAAACAGACAGTAACTCAGCAAGGGCTTCTTGTTGCGATAATTGCCTCTAAAAGTTCTAATAAATTATGGCGCGAAAATGTTCTGCGCTGATTTCCATTTTTCTAATGACTTGGTGACACTTAAAAATTCACTGTAGTGAGAACACTGCAAGTATTGTTGTGAAACTTTGAATTTATGTTTACTAGTGAGTGTAAGATTCAGTACTGACGTTCGATCCGCGCGGCCTACTATGTTTCTATATGCAAAACTTAAAAGACATCCCTCGTATGTGGCTTAATCTGTTCCAAATGGCGTGTACTATCAGCCGTTGAAAGGTTTATATTATTATTATTACTGGAAAATCTTATACAGGACTCGTAACGTTTGACAAAAGCCACTCATTGTGTCATATAAGAAGTATCGTTTTGGAGAGAGTATATTTGAGTCCTGCTCTTCTTGTTCCGGCCATAGCAATGATTGTTTTTTTTATATATAATGTATAATTATTATATCTATTGATGTAGTGAAGTGAGATCATCGGCATGAGGAAATAGATAAAAGTGAATTGTAGTACATCTAGAAGATCTATACAAATCAATATCACTGAAAAAAATGAAGATAAGCGTACACTATGGAAATTTTCTACGAACAATAGTACAAGATTTCTATGAAAAGCTTTTCGAGAAATTATAATGTGGATCGAAGGTTTGGGGCAATACATTCCCAAAACAAACAGAAAAAAGTCTTAGTCAATATTCAGGATACCAATTTTTGGTGTCGTGAATGACAAAATCGCATTAAAACTAACCGTTTTTATCAAGAATCATTTTATGAATACCAAACAACAATACATTTTTAAGCTGAATCATCCATTTTCCCTAAAAGACAGCCTCGGGACCTGCTCGTAACGGAAGGCTTTTGACGATCTAGCTTTCTTCTACCGCTACACCAACAGGCTTTGCTCCTTAGAGCTCTCCTCCATGGCGCCGCCGCGCGATGTGCCTGCCGAACAGACCTGCCTGACTTGGGCCTTCCATGCCAACCGTGTCGAACTTCACACATCCAGAACTGGCCGATACGACCGCTTCTCTGTCCCTAGGGTGTCGAGCTTGTGAAACAATCTACAAGAGGAGGCTTTTCCCAGTCTACTAACCTTAGATAATTCAAAAACCGGATTAACAAAGTTTCTTTGGGATCCTCATAGAAGCCGCGGTGTCCTGGCATTTAAGCTTCTGCCTGCGCAGCTGCTTCAGTGTAAAAAAAGAGGTATTTCATCCCTCTCGTTCTGGAGTATCTGCGTTTTCGAAGTGATCTTTTTGATGGAAGTGTGAAATATTCATCGTTGGTGTTTTCTTCTTGAAATGCTTCGTTCAACATCCGAATTTATTCCATGCAATATTTAGGTTACATTTAAATACATCGATAAGGTAGTTGATAGTTTCTCGCTTTTCCGACAACTTGTTACGGCACATTTACTTATCATCTGGAATTACTATTTAGAGTAAGGCGAAAAAATTAAGACTTTCTCTCTAACAAAGATGGCATCTGTGTCTAATATTGGTGACCTATTTCGAATTGGAATTGCGGCCGGTCTATGTCGATTCGGAACAGTCAGTGAAAAATCTCACCTACCCTGCTCAACGAAATGGCATTTCTTCCACCAGAAAGGGGCCAAGACTCCTGGACTATGTTAACGCAACAAAATGAACGCGAAATCTGAGCAGAGCATCAGAGAAATACAAATCAAAGGCGACGTACATATACTGACGTGATGTGCACTTTTGTTAGGTCAAGCACCATTATACTATTATTCGAAAAGATGAACCCACGGACTCCACGTTCAGTCTATCTATACTAAGTGACATATAAATCCGAACACCCAGTTTAAATGGTTTTATTTTAATAAAATTTTGTATAAGTACTTAATGAAGCATAATAAGTAAATGATAAAAATTTCAAAATGATTGCACTGCTTTAAAGCCCTTTGACCTTTAATAATGTGTGGATGCACCATGATGTCTTCCTGTGGTATCTCATTCCAGGCAACCACCAACTCCTCTCGAAGTGCTTCTAGAGTCTGAGGACGACGTTGCAAATTGAGCAATCTCCTTCCCATCATATTCCACACGTGCTCAATTGGGGATAAGTCGGGAGATCTTGGTGGCCATGGTAACAATGTGACATCATTATGTTGAAAGAAGTCTATTGTGACTCTTGCAACATGTGGTCGGGCATTATCTTGTTGGAAAGTTGGATCTGCCAGAGTGTCAAGATAGGGTAAAAGATGGGGTTCTAGAACTTCGTGGATATAACGCTGCGCGTTCATTTTACCTCTGATGAAGACTAAAGGTGACCTGGAACCATAAGCTATAGCACCCCAAACCATAACTCCAACAGTATGATGAACATGTCTTTCAACAAAAAACTGTGGATTCCTCCTTGCACCACGTCGCCTTCTAACCCTGGCACGACCATCGTACATGCCTAAACAAAATCGAGACTCGTCACTGAAGACAATACTGTTCCATTCCTGATCCCAGAGTGACCGTTGTCTGCACCACTCAAGGCGATTACGGCGGTGTTCTCGAGTTAAAGGGAGGACCCAGTGTGGCCGGTATGAAAACAAGCCAAAACTTCTCATTCGTCGGTAGACACTTCGCATGCCAATAGGTCTTCCGTGTTCTGCAAACCATTCATTTGCAATGGACCTGGTAGTGGAGAAACGGTCCCTTAAGGCCAGTAATCTTAGGCGGCGATCTTCACGGTCTGTTGTTCTACGGCGGCGTCCAGTGCCCCTTGCTCTTTGCGTACGGCCTTCTCGAAGCCATGCCTGATAACACCTAACCACAGTGTCTACACTTCTTTGCACTCTAACTGCAATAGCCAGAATAGAAAGTCCAGCTTCCCGAAGTCCCACTATACGGCCCCTATCAAACTCACTAAGTTGACGAAATCGTACAGGTCTCCGTACTCTAGGCATCGTAACCGATCGTAAAGGATGTCAAGAACCAAAATCCGCCAACGTTGATTCTTTACTGCGGCTGAAATATTCATTTTTATAGCGTTAGTGAATTAAAAAAAAAGCAGCATAAAAACCGGAATGTCCAACTGATAAGGCTGAAAATTTGTTCACTTGTTATTTACAGTAAGATAAATACATTCACCAACTTTTATTAAAATAAAACCATTTAAACTGGGTGTTCGGATTTATATGCCACTTAGTATATTTGGGACGCCTGACGCTCGGTGACAAAGGTTCAGTTCTATATGGAGTTCCAGCACGTAATTTGTGGATAGTTTCTTTAGTTTGTTATCTGCTGTGTTTTGAATAAGTCTCCGTGTGAAATATAATTAAAAAACAGTCAGTTAAACATTTATCTATGATGTAGTAAGCAGTGGTGAGTTGTTCAAGAAACAACAAGAACAGCAAATACGTTTTTAATTGTAGTTGCTTCGGTTTTCCAAAGAACAAACAAGTTTGCGGACAATGACTTCTGAAGTGTCATGAGCAACACAAATTTATTTGTAGTTCCTAATCAAATATAACGCAGTCGACCATGTTTTCGACAATTTAAACACAGGTTCATTAAAATCGACCAAAAACTATTTAAAACTTTATTTATTTGGAGCTCTAAGGAAATTTTAGTCTCAAGTTATTTACGAGTGGAACCTTTCGTCTTATCTATTGTCAAATTTCTAAAAAGCGATAATTTTATAAAGGTAATTTGTATAGACAAATGAAAGCATAAATAAAACATTCTACACTACCCAAAAGAATTGAGGGAGCAAGAAAAAAATCCAAATTGTTCCGCAAAGATTCTTGTTTCAAGGATTATTAGCCGAAAAATATTAAGAGTAATGGTTCTCATGCAATTCTAAGAGATAGCACAAGAAACATTTTTTGCAAAATGCGTGACTTCTTGTTCTTAGTCTACGGGCTTAAACATTTTTTCTGCTAGGCCATCATATAGATCAGATAGCCCGTTTTGAAACTGCAAATGAGAAGATTAATGTTTTTAGGTTTTTTGTACTTCAGTGTAACTCCTAATAACCTTTTGTCATTGCACGGTTTCTCCAGAACAACTGGTCAAGTTTGAAAATGATGCTAATTCAACATTTTTAAAACTGGAGGTATTACAGATATCCAATAGTGACAACAAAACAATAAAAATATTTCTTTTATGTGTAACCGGATTACAGTCAGATATCTCTGCGCCAAATGATCGTATCGAAATTTTAATGTATAAACGGCACGGGTAAAACGTATCTTGAAGTGACATTATGCTGATTTTTTTTGACATTTTGCTGTTTTTTTTTGACATTATGTAGGTTCTTCTACAATATGTTAACTAAGCACTTAGTCGTACGTGTTGCCTAAATGTCATGAGTCTTGTTATCAATCTTTGGCTCTGATATGGTGTGAAATCTGCTTCTGAGATGGCATTACTGGAGGTTTAAGTTGAAAGTTGTATTGAGATTCAAAGCTAGAAATTAGTTGCGCATTCTTATCCATTCTGGAAATTACATATACAAATTTGCTGAATTTCAAAAATGAGAGAGATAAGAAACCATTTTCTCACACAGCAAATATCACTGATTTTATACACATGCAGACCAAAACACATAATCATCCAGATACGATCTTGCTATTCAACCAACTTTCTTCTCAGAGATAAAAACTACAGACACGGATCACCATAGGTGGTAGACGGTCTCTGACTGTCGAACGCGGAGGTACCACCTGGCGGATCTCGTAGGAGGAGCCAGAATGTGCGCATGTTGCATACACACGTGTTCCCTCACCAGAGGCCGTGTGGCGTCCCCCCTTTCCCCTGTATCCCCCTATAGCCCGACGGTACCCAATGGGTCTTTAGGCCTTAGGCCTTCGTGGCAGTTGGAGTATAAAAAAACTCAGCCTCACAAAACTATGCAACCAATAATGCGTGTAGTTTAGTTGAGTGATTCCTCCATAGATGGAGGGTCACAACGATCCTAGTGAGCAAACGTGGAATGACTGTTTGCGCCCTAAGAACTGCCTAGTCTGCAAGTTGACATCTTATAGGTTATTTTGGACGTTTTATAGGCTTTTTACATGATACCCATGCCGGCTATCATCTAATCCAAATCATGGCCTGATATGAAATATTTTTCCAAGGCCGTGGACTGATAGGAAGGCAAACATTTTGATGGAATTTTTCTTGCGCTTTCTTAAGTCTTCAAGCCACAAAATGGTTTGTTTAAAGACTAGATACAACCATTTTCCACCGCAATATAGCCTGTCAAAATTTTGATTCCTTTCTTGCTCCCTTAATTTTTTGAGTAGTGTATATAACACTAAAATTATCATGTAAAATCGATTACACAAATGTTAAGCAAATATTCCAAATATTGAAGAGTAAATTTTCTAATACAATGTATTTTATACCGGCGGAACATTTGTCACTAAGTGACGTCGTGAGCAGAAGGCGGACAAATTTCGATCGCTAAGTGAGCATATCTCCTCGAGCTATCGTATCATGGTCAATGAGGTTAGTTCCCTGAAAGATAGTATTGGGTAAAGGGAGAATAAAGACTCGTCGCATCCATGGTAGCAATCTGTTTTTTTAATCAATAGGTCAGGCAAAACAACTAGGACTTGACTTTTACTCGAATCACTGAGTTTTAGAGCTACGTCATGTTAGACTCTTTTGCGTGCAGCTTAGTATCTGACTAACGTTATAACCAGCATTTAATAGTTCTGTAAGACTATTAAGACCTGCGCCCAGAGACTTTGTTGTCTCCGAGAGTTATATACTTAGATATGCATCCTAAATAAATAATTAATTATTATAATTAAGTAACTAAATATATATATAAAGTGGTTATGTTTATTTTTTTGTTTTTGTTTCTGATTTCTATAAATATACTGATATTACTCATTTCTAATTCCACAGTGATGGCCCTCTTTTTCTTCATTTTGCCCTTTGACTCTCAAAGGTTGCCGACCAATGATTAAGACTTCGGGTTTCAGTGTAAAAGGTTGGCCGGTATTGCTTCGATTAGTAAAACGTAGTTAGCTAACAGGTCAAATTCGTTAATTAGCTAGCTAGGATGACCTCGATGAAATTCGTTAATTACGATGTCAGTCAGTATTTTCCCCAACACAGACCGAAATTTGACTGAACATTCTGACAACAGCTTTATGCTCATATTATCAAGAACTTGCTATTGGATCTGAGTAACGGAAACCGTTAATAAAACGAAATATTAATTTGTCGGAGGCAACCGTTTCATAAAAGGATGTAAGGTAACCTATCTGACTACTGTCTTACGCTGAGTAGGCTTCTGGAGTTTGGTGATCTGATCAGAAGAATATTGATAAGCTATGACTTTATCACTTTTAGCACTGTTCAAGACACTTCACTTTCAAAGTGTCAAGCAAAAGTCTGACACTCGGTTGGGATTAAGTGGAGTTAAACTACATGGCTACGAAATAAAACAACTGATTATCGAGAGTTGAAAAATACACGTTTATTAACCCTCTAAGATAAAAAATAAAAAAGGTTACTTAAGAGAAGAAAAGACTGGGTTGTTTAGTTGAGTTACTCTGTCAGCCAAATGAGTAACTATCAAGGATGAAATTTATAGTGGTTATATCTAATTGAAATTCAAACCTCAATTCAAAGAATAAGCTCATCATGTATGGAAGGAGGACTAGAGATATAAATCAGATGAGTTCCATGAGATCAAGAGATTGGGATAATTTCATTATCAATATTAATGTGATATTAAAAGATGCTCAATTGAATAATGTTGAAACTGTCAAGAATCACAACAGCCACTGAATGAAAATTTAGTTGAATCATGACCAGAAGGAAATTGAGAATGTAAGTGCTAAAAAACGGAGAGCTTACGAGTTCTTTTCTCTCGAAACCCAAACACAGAGCTGGTTACCTGGACTGAGAGATCAGACAGATGGTTATTCATTCAGAGGTGTCGTATTTGAAAGGGGTAATTTTAGAATATGTACAAGGAGATTAACAAATGATTTTCTCCATAGTATTCGATGAGCTATTCTGTTCAACACCTACCAATTCGACAGGTGGGAGAGTTGGACAGTTGTTAACGTTAAAGTGACAGCAAGCCGAGATACGAGGAAAACTCTACCAAAAAAACCTCTCTCGGCTGTGATTTACTTAAACTTTTGTACTCTTTTAAAGTTGAATATTTCATTTGATTACATCTCATTTTCTAGTACTCTTACCTGTATAATCAAACATATGTTTAACTTTTTACGAGCATCCAAATTGGGTGCTCGTTGGAAATGATTAATAAAGATGGATCTTCATGTCTTCTTTGGCTGACCTAGTCGAGGTAACTATTGTAGTACCCCCGTATATGCATGGAGCTGAACGCGTTTAGACCAATGGCATGCAAGAGACAATCAAAATGGCGGCATGTCATCTGGCAATTCAAAGGGGACAAATTTTATGTTATAAGTAATAAAATTGGTACGAGTTACAGAACCGGTACGTGAGAACATTTTGTATGTCCAGACCTACTGACTTCATGCCATCGACGATGTTACTCGAAAAATAGCAATCAAAAGGTGCCTTAGAAGACCTTGACAATATCTCTTCTAATCATGAGTATTAGTGGAGTTTTGTGAATCTTAATTCAATTCTCTGATTTGAAGAGTTTCAAGAAACACGAAAGTGAAACAGCGCACTCCTGGAAGATGATTTGTGAATAGAATTAATACGAGTTCAAATGCCAAAAGATGGGGTTAAACGTAGTAAACACATTTTTTGTATCAGTTTGACACTTTCGGAAGTTACTTTAATGATATCTTTGTTAAACGTAGGACACAAAGGTTTCACGGTGAAATTCTGAAAAAGACAGTTGTCGTCCGCTGTACTTTTTTTTCGGACTATGTTTGCAATCGGTTTTGATTCTGAAAGTTGTTTGAACAACCTCATTGTTCGTCATAGCTCTGCGACATAATTCCCAAAATACCAGCGACAGCGCATAAATGTCTGATTTCTTAAGCGACTCAAAATAGGCCTTTTGAATGCTGAAAAAGAAATGAATCGTTAAATAATAGTTTGTTACTTCCTTAATGATATGTGAATATCTAAGAGTGTGAATCTTTATGAAAAATTAGTGTTGGTTTGCTTTATAAACTATGTCCCAAAAATGTTTCCTTACAAAAACTCGGGGTGTTGAAGTTTTAGGAAAAAATGGAAATCAATTAATATTTGCAGAACCGCTTTAGCTATTTCACTGATATTTAGTATGTAGTGCAAGTTAATAAAGATGCATATTTTTCAATGCAAAAATAATTTTTACCTATATCAGTTGCGTGCGTACGGGTATTGACTTCGATATTTTTTAAGAAAAAAGTGGTATGCCAATGCTTTTTGCCAAATAAAAATTATTTTTGAATTCCCCGTTCAATTTAAAACAAATAACCTCTCTCGAGTTGTTTTCCTTCGATGGGCCATTTTTGAGTAAAAAAATAAAAGCCGTTCTATTGTCCGAGAAAATTAATGTAATAATTGAAGAATGCAATTTAGCAATAAATATCTAGTTGCTCTGGAATATGTCACAGGCTTTTGACATCTGACAAGTCTCTGTTATTCAAATCTGATCGCTGTGACATCTTTTTCGTTATTTAGTTCTTACAATATTGTTAATAATGGTGAATTATTTAAATGCAGAAATGTCGCAAATGCATTACGTATATGGCCTTGCCGGCGGTAATGGTGAGCAAGCCAGACGGATTCATCACCATAGATATCCCGATCGTGCTTTGCCACAAAGCTTCTGGTCCGGACTTGATTCCTGCCATTGTACTGAAGAGATGTGCAGCGGAGCTTGCTCCAGTTCTTTCGCGTCTCTTCCAGATATCTTATGAATCCGGCACCTTCCCAGAAAACTGGAAATTTGCTCATGTACAGCCCATCCCAAAAAAAGGATCTAAGACCGACCCTTACAACTACAGGCCTATAGCTCTGCTTTCTGTTATTAGTAAAGTGATGGAGAGGTGCATAAATCGCGAGCTTCTGGACTATCTCGAACGTCACACCATGATTAGCGACAGGCAGTACGGTTTCCGGCACCAACGATCCACAGGGGACCTCCTAGCTTACGTCACGCAACTGTGGAGTACACTCATCCAGTCTCATGGTGAGGCTCATGTCGTTGCTCTTGACATCACGAAAGCGTTCGATCAGCTGTGGCACGCTGCCCTCTTAAGCAAACTTCCATCCTACGGCCTCCCAGAAAAGCTGTGCAGATGGGTGGCTGACTTTATCTCTGGCCACAAGATATCCGTCGTAATTGACGGATTCTCCTCTTCATCCCACAACGTCAACGCGGGTGTTCCCCAGGGATCGGTCTTGGCTCCAACACTGTTTCTCTTACATATCAACGACCTCCTTTCCTGCACGATCAACCCAATCCACAGCTACGCTGATGACAGCACTCTACATGCAGGAATTCAGAGTGACAAGCCGATCTCTGCCGCTGAGCTGGAAAAAAAGAAGACTAGCGACGACTTCTTCTCTGACAAGAGACCAGGAGGCTATCACTGCTTGGGGACGCAACAATCTTGTACAGTTCAATGCTTCCAAAACACAGTACTGTACTTTGACGAACAAAAAGCGTCCTAGCGCTCATACAGTTTCGATGGACGGTCGAGTTCTACCAAAGAGCCATTCATTTCGGGTGGTCGGAGTTCAGATCACCGAGGACCTGATCTGGCACGAACACATCTCTTCAATAGCTGCAGCTGCTGGGAAAAAGCTAGGCTATTTGTTTAGGGCTAAGAAGTACTTTTCTCCGCATGACCTTCTCACTCTATACAAGGCCCAGATAAGGCCTAGCCTCGAGTATTGCTCACACATTTGGGGTGCTGCCGCCCCGACTACATTGTCCATGCTCGATGCTGTCCAGAGGAGAGCGGTCCGACTGATCGATGACTCTTCTCTAACAGACAGTCTCGGGACTCTTTCGCACCGGCGGGTCGTCGGCGATCTAGCTCTTTTCTATCGCTACACCAACGGGCTTTGCTCCTCAGAGCTCTCTTCCATGCTGCCGCCGCGCGATGTGCCTGCCAGACAGACCCGCCTGACTTCGGCGTCCCATCCTAACCGTGTCAAACTTCGTACATCCAGAACTGGCCGATACGACCGCTCCTTTGTCCCGAGGGTGTCTAGATTGTGAAACAATCGACCGGCGGAAGCTTTTCCCAGTTTCACCAACCTTAGGCAGTTCAAAAATCGTATTAACAAAATTTCTTTAGACTTCTGCCTGCGCGGCTGTTTCGATATATAAAAAAAAAAAATAGTCCAACTTTTTCTAATATTCATCATCGTCTTGTTGAAACTGGTTCTATCCGAAAAGGAACATCTGAAGGTAGACCTCTAAGTGTGAGAACACCTGAAATTGAGGAAGCAGTGCTGCACGAAGATCGCTAGACACTTAAATATTTTCCATCAAACCGTTTGGAAAATTTTAGTGGATTTTTTGTTATATCCTTACCATATTTTAAGAGTACAGGCATTACTTCCCATTTACTTTCCAAGGCGTGTGACATTTTGTCAGTGGTATCTTCAAAAAATTACACAAAATCCGCAATTTGAATCAATTATTCTGTTCACCGACGAAGCTATTTTTTCTCTAAATGCCGTTCAGAATTACCACAATAATCATTTGTGAACGGAAAAAAATCCCTATACCGTAACCGAAACCCATTTCCAACACCAATTTTCGGTTAACGTATGGGCAGGAATTATTGGCAACCACTTTATCGGCCCATTCTTCTTGCCGGAACGACTTGGCGGACAGACTTACCTCAATTTTCTTCAACAACAGTTGCCTTTGCTGCTTAATGATGTTCCGTTAGTGATAAGAAGCAATATGTGGTACATGCATGATGGTGCACCAGCGCATTTCAGTGTAGCGGTTCGTAATTATATACAAACTGTTTATCCAAATCGTTAGATAAACAGCGGGCCACCAAGGTCCCCAGACGTCAACAGTTTAGATTTCTTTTTGTGGGGCTATCTTAAGACACTAGTGTACACAAGTCTTATTAACACTGTAGAGGAATTAAGAGAAAGAATAGTTGCAGCTTGTGATAGAATAAAAAACTCCAGTGATATTTCAACGAGTGCGCAATTCCATGAGAAGGAGGGCGGACGCATGCATACTAAGTAAAGGGGGCCTTTTTGTAATCATTTCGTTGGTTTTAATATTATGCTTATGTTGTCAGTTATTGTTGTTCATTACCCATAATGTGTTTAATTTTCCAATTAAATTAATAATAATTTTGCAAGTTAGACAACAGAACGGTTTTTATTTTTTTACTCAAAAAAAAAACGCATCAAAAGAAAACATTTCCGAAGAGATCATTTGTTTTAAATTGAACAGAGATTTCAAAAATGATTTTTATTTAGCAAAAAACCATTGGCGTAATAATGTTTCTTAAAAAATATCGAAGTCAATACCCGTACCCACGCCACTGTTGAAACTAAAAATTATTTTTGTATTGAAAAATATGCAACTTTATTAACTTTCACTACGTGTGAAATATCAGTGGAATATCTGAAGCGGTTCTGAAAATATTAATTAGTTTCCATTTTTTTCCTAAAACTTCAACACCCCGAGTTTTTGTAAGGCAACATTTTTGGAGCGTGGTTTATAAAGCAAACTAACATTAATTTTTTATGTATATTCGCAACCTTAAATATTCGCATATCACTAAGGAACACCCTGTATATGCTTGAATATTTTTATTAAAGAATGTTAGTTGACTTTGTATAGACAATAGTCTGCATCTACTTACAGGATCTGAAGACCATCTATCTAATTCCAGCGATAGCGCATAAATGTCCGATTTCTTAATTGACTCAAAATTGGAATTCCAAATGCTGAAAAAGAAGTAATTCATAATCGTTAATTACTTCCCACGTAAATTGGCGATAAGGTCTTCCAGTCGCGAAAACGAGCATAGTTTTATACTTCTCCGTGTCAGCGCTCTATTTTGAGGTTATGTCACAAACATCTATTTGCATCCAATTGTGCTTGCTTTTGAGTTATATCATGTTTTATCAGCGTGAAATTTCCTACAATTTAAAAAGAAAACATATATTCACAATAGGAGAGCGCTGACGCTAACACGGGACAAGTGTAATCTAGAAATTTTTGAAGGAGAGAAAGGAGTATGACAATCAAGGAGACCATAAACGCGCTCTACAATTGTAGGGACCACTGACGAGACGGGCCTTAGTAAGACAAATAAGATGCTCATTAGAAGCAATGATAATTTTGCATGAAGGGTAGGCCTACGAGATACGGAACTTACACGTGAGAAATTTTGAATGTCCAGTAGGTCACGGACACTTCATGTACGAGCCCCTTCCCACTTCAGTTGGCCCAACTATTGAAATGTTTTTTTCTCATCAACCACAAATAATAAAAATGTAGCAGGGTGTTATAGAAAACACCAACTTTATCACTCCCTAATCAAATTTGCAGCATAAAAATAACACATGTTGCAATTACAGCATATCAACCTATTTTCATTTCATTGCAAAATAAGTCTATAACGCATAGGTGGCTGTGAAAAATAAAAGCCATGACAATTGTTTTTATTAATCTCAGCTGTGTTTTGGGTAGTTAAGGTTTCAAAATGGGTAGAGGAAAGGTTATTAGTGAGAAAATTCGGTTACTGATAATTAAATTTTTTAATTCTGGGAAATCAAACTCCGAAATTGCAACTTTGATAGACTTATCGCGGTACAGTGTGAGAAATATTGTTAGAAGATATATATATATAATTGGTTCAGTTAATATTAAGCCACGATATGTGAAAAAAGTAATATCACAAATGACGACCGAAGAGCATTAAGAAGGATAATCGTGAAAAACAGGCGTGCCAATTATTTACAATTAAGTGCTCTGTGGAGTGACGCTGTTGGAAGGAGAATTTCGAGGTCCACAACTCATAGAGAGCCCCACAAACTGGGATTTAGCACTTGCAAGGTAAGATTTCTTATAAAAAAGTGAAGCAGAAACCCTAAAGTTGCACAACTTGTTTATAGGCCAAAGAAAAGCCACTATTAACTCCACTGCAAAAGAAAAATCGGCTTATGGTACCCATTCACGTACAGGCGGACTGCAGTCCCGAACTGTGAACGATCTGGCCGTCAGTCCAAATTTCAGCATACACGTACAGGTGGCCGGCAGGTCTGTGCCTGCAGTTTACAAAGATTGCACAAAGTGTGTACGTGTGTGGTGGTTAATCGTCAGTCCGGGTCGTACGATAGCGACTTTCATTGTATTTAAAAATTGTGTACACAGTTTTGGTAAAAAATGTCTGATGTGACGTTAAATCAGCCATCGTTTGTTACTGGTTTTATTGATATTTATCGACAGTTACCAAGTTTATGGAATATTAAGTCAAAACAGTATTCAAATCGAAAAGAAAAGGCAAAGGCGTATGAGAAACTTATAAGTTATTGCAAAACCGTAGACAAAAATGCTTCGATGGATATGGTAAAAAAGAAAATTAATAATATTAGAAGTGCCTTTCGAAAGGAGCACAAAAAAGTTCTAAAATCAAAAAGAAGTGGATCATCTACAGAAGAGCTGTATGAGCCAACTCTTTGGTATTATAAATTACTGCTTTTTACGGCTTCGCAGGAAGAACCTAGGATGTCAGTTTCAAATGATGATGAGTCGGAGTCGGAGGGTGACGATGCCAATAATGAGGTAAGGAAATTTTTTGCAAATAAAAAAATCAAATAAAATCTTTTTATTTCTTGTCTAAAATAAATTCTTTAATTCTACAAAATTATCAAGTAAGATACATATTATAATAGGTACATTGATTAAATAAAATTTTCTTGCCAGGAAACTTTTCCAACAGTATTAAAGAAATTTTTATAATTCACTCTATTTTCTTTGGCTTCACGTGAAGCATTACGACCATATCCTGGTTGTAAATTATCTAATGGTCTTTCTGCTCTCCAGTCTCCCCTTATTATATCCCCTGTGTCAATAATTTCGGTGTCAACATCATTTCTCGTTATATATGAAGTTTTAGAACGTCTCAAAAAATTATGCAACGCGCAAGCTGCTAGTACAATTTTGTCAATTTTGTCAGGTTGCATATTAATTGGAGTATGGAATACTCGAAAGCGATTAGCTAATATACCGAACGCGTTCTCAACCGTGCGGCGCACACGGCTAAGTCTATAATTGAAAATAGATTCTTCTTTTGTTAAATTGTTTCCCGGGAAAGGTTTTAAAATATTTTCATGTAATGCAAACGCATCATCTGCCACAAAAACGAAATTTAAATTATGCTTTGTTACGTCATTAGAAGGCAAATTTAGCTTTTTTTCTATAAGTTTATCGTAAAATTTTGTATATTCTAAGACCCCTCCATCAGAAACTCGCCCATTACAGCCTACATTAACATATATGAATTCGTAATCAGCATTAACAAGGGCCATGAGAACTATACTGTGATAGTCTTTGTAGTTAAAAAAATATGACCCGCTGTTGGCTGGTTTAACAATTCGCAGATGTTTACCATCAATAGATCCTCCACAATTAGGAAAGTTCCATCTGGTTTCAATATTATAAGCTATTTCTTGCCACTCCTCTGATGTTTTTGGAAACTGTAAAAAAAATTATAATATACATTTTGTATTTTGTACTTTCAGGAAGATGTCACCCAGCATGATACTCAATTTTCACCGCTTACTGAAGATGCGTTGCAAGCACCGTCTGAAATATATCAGCTATCACCACCACAAACACCGCATCAGTCATCAACCTATTCACGTCCATCAACTTCCAGATCTTCTAATAGTGCAAAAAGAAAGAAGTATGGACAGGAAGAAAGTATCCAAAGGATTTGCGCTAAGTTGGACAGAGAAAATGATGAATGTGACAGTATTGGAGAAAATGTGGCCCATAAACTGCGCCGAATGGACAGCGACCAGAAAATGTATGCTGAATTATTACTTCACCGTCTTCTCTTCCTTGGTGTTCAAAAGAAATTATGCGAGGAATCTCATATATGTATAAATTCGGCACATAGCGTTTCATCTCATTATAATACTATGTTGCCAATGCAACTTCAATACAATCAACAGCCACAACCTTTAACTCCTTCTCCTTTCCAACCCATATTAACAAATCAGCAACAACAAACTTTCACTTCTTCGCAACACACATCAACTTACAATCAGCAACAAAATGTCACTCTTTCCCGACCCTCAGCAACTATTTCTGAAACACAGTACACAAATGCAGAAGGAGAAAACCTCGACATAAATATAAACTATATAAGACCTCTTGATAAAACTACCCCTGAAACAATGGAGGAAAGCGGCAACACGTCGAAACTTAAAGGATCTTTAACTGAATTGCTGGTTTTTAATCGATGAATTTACGAAACTTCAATGACTACATACTTAAAGTTTTGTTTTTACTTGTCGACTTGTTCATTATTACCTATTGTCTATGTTTTTGACAATAGAAATCAAAAGTTTATTTAAAATTCGTTTCTATAACACAAGTTGTTCACCTTTAAGTTTTTATGTAAGGATACATTTTTCAATAAAATACGTAGTTGAAATATTATTTTGAAATTTTACTAAAACATAAAAAATTACTTCAAATTACGACAAAAGCGAAAATTTTGGAATGCGCGCATAAAATACATAATTTTTAATAAGAATATTAGCGAGGTATTTAGGTTAAAAAATAAATACCTAGGTACTTTTATAAATGTACGCTTCTAAAAATTTTGGCTTTCAATCTCCTTCAACTATTCCATTTCTTTCTAAAATATTATGCACTGTATTCCAAAATTTTATGAACTTACCTTCATATATTCCTTTTTCAACGCCTTGTAAATCCATTCGCAGGTTTCTGGTATAATTTTTCCTAGTGCTTGGGGAGAAATAATGGCAGAAAATTTCAAATCCTCAAATGTACGTCCAGTTGCCAGATACCGCAAAGTCACTATTAACCTTTCTTCAGCACTAATGGCTTTTCTCATTACTGTATTCTGTCGTTTTATGTGGGGTTTAACTAAAGTTAATAATTTTCTGAAAGAAGCCTCGTCCATCCTAAGATAATTTTTAAAATCTTCGCTGCTGGAATCTTTCAATCGCTTCAGGAGTTTCATATGAGATAAATTTTCACGATCTCTTAACCATTCCTTCACCCAAAAACGTTTGCCATTTTTTCCGCGTTCATTAGTTAATAGCAAAATCAAAAGTAACAAAATAAGTTTCTTTTTTCTTAACATTTTACCACTGCTTTATTGTTCTTTTGTCTACACACTACAAGCAAGAACTGCGAAACTTTTGCGACGGACTGTGGATGTATGGCAAATAATGAGGCGACCTGCAGTTCTAGGACTGTCAGGCGATGGCCTGCAGGCCGCATCGTTTGTATACAACTGAACGTGTATGGTCTATATCGCAGGCCACGACTGCAGGTCAAATTTCAGTCCATTGCCTGCAGTCCGCCTGTACGTGAATGGGTACCATTAGATGGGCTAAAGAACATAGACAATGGACACCTCAACAATGGTGTGCAATACAATGGAGTGATGAGGCCCGATTCGTGTTGGTGACAGTCGCAGTAGAGTTATTCGCAAAAAAAATGAAGCATTATATGTTGACTGTCTGAAGAGAAAAGTGAAATTTCCAGCATCCGGTATGGTCTGGGGCAGTATGTCATCAAAAGGAGTAGGAAAACTTCACTTTATTGATGTAAATGTGGATACAAACAAATATTTGGCAATTTTAGAAGAATCGCTTTTACCAGTGATGGAAGAATGTTTGACATCCGGCCAAGATTTTGTGTTTCAGCAAGATGGTGCAGCGTGCCATACCTCAAAAAGGCTATAAAATGGATGGAAGAAAATAATGTACCACTTTTGAAATGGGTTTCTAGCAGTCCAGTCGGTCACCAATTGAAACTTTGTGTCAGGAGATGAAAAAGGTTCTACGACATCCTGCTCGTACAATCACCGAACTGAGACAAAAGCTTCAAGAAATATGGGATTGTTTTACACCAAATTTTTGCCAAAATTTGGTTAACACTATGCCCCAAAGAATTTCAGCCATAATAAAAAATATAGGAGATGTTACCCAATGGTAATCTTTCAATTCTTGCTTTGTTAACTTCGCACATTGTTATTAGTTATAGGGCTAAGTGATTTCAAATATGTATTTTATAAGACTAGAGTGTATCTAAAATGTTCTTGAGAAAATAAATTGTTTTAGAAGTAAATAATTTCGTCATGTTTAGTTTATGAAGGCATATTTTGGTACAAATCTTGAAGTAGGCCAACAGAAGTGGGAAGGGGCTCGTAGTCCAAATATGTTACTCGGGAATTAGTAATCGAGGGCTGCCTTAGAAAGCCTTGACAAAATATGTCTTTTAACCATGAGTACTAGTGGAGCTATGTAAAATCTCAATTTAATTCTCCGATTTACAACACTGGCCATGCAGCCTGTGGAAATGCAACATTTCATATTAGGATAATTTTGGAATGACTTGAAGAGTTTCATTAAACACAGAAGTGAAACTGCACTTTCCTGGAAGATGATTGGTGAAGAGGAAGGAAGCAAACTTAAGTAACAAGTAAAAACATTTTTTATCAGTTTTGTCAATTTCGGAAATTACTTTAATGACATTTTTGTTGGACGAGGGGCACAAGGGTAGTCATCGGTTTTACCCTCAGTTGTGAAATTCTGAAAAAGGCGGTTGAGGACCGCTGAGACTTTTTTTTCGGCCTGGGTTTGCAATCAGTCATGAATCTGGAGGTATTGTGAACATACAATAATTTGAATATTTCATTTGATTACCTTTCATCTTGATTATCATGATATTCGTACCTACGAGTATATAAACAAACAAATGTCTATCTTTCTACGAGCAGCCTTTCTGTTTATGCTAAAGGTTGTAAACTTTATGGGTTATGGAGGTTCGGTCCACTTAGAGATGTCTAGACATCTATTTCAAGAGAGCTTGTCAAATCATTTCTCAGAAAATGTCCTTCTGTTACGTCAGCTTTAACAAAGATTCTTTGATTTGTAGCGCTGATAAACGCGCATCAGGATTCTGGTGCCAACATTCCTCCATTATTTTGGTCATACCACTCAAAATCTGAAAAGAACGGACACGAACTATTATTAGTTGTACAACATTAATATTAACAGTATTTCTGCCCTGCGGTTTTAACCGCGGAACGTGTAGATAATGCTACTAGTAAAGTAACCAAATCTCAAGCATGCACGTTGGCTGTCAATTTGCTAATGCGATCAAGCATACAAAACGTGATCTGAAGTTCATAGAACTATACTATAACTATCTAAAACTGTAATGACTCATCGATGTTCACGTGAACATCACTTAACAACCAGTAGTCGGCTGTTCATAGGCGGGGTATGAACGTTTAACATGGGTGAACAAGATTTATCACATGCTTAATAAAGAGTGGTTTGAAACATATTGTTAAGTCAAAAATTTGGGAATCACATTTATTCATCGTCGCTTCCACTTACATCTGACAGTAATAAACTGTCGCTATCGCTTTCCTCGTTGAAATTTACTATAACTGGCTATATGATGGTGTCGATGTGGTGGTCAAGCTGCCACATTTTTGTTTCTTCCTTCACAACATGACGGATAGCATTCTGCCAAGCTTCGAGCGTTACTAGCTTGTATGGAAGTCTCAAGTAAAACCTTAACGTCTGGTAATTTGAAGGTTGTATTATGGCGCGCAATATAACCCTTCACTTGAGCCCAGACGAGCTCTATTGGGTTCAGTTCACAGTGGTAGGGCGGTAACCGCAGCACAGTGACACCACATTGACGGGCCATCTCATCAGTCACGTAACTAATGTTCGCAGGTTTGTGATGTTTAATTTTTTCATACAATTCCGCTTTCACACATGAATCGTCAAACGGGATTCCTTTTTCGCGCAACCATTGCTGCATGTCACTTTTTCGAGATCCCATAGTCGGTACACGTTCGGCTCGACGACTATGGTAGGAAGCATTATCCATGACGATCACAGAGTTGGGCTCAACTCGCTGAAGCACCCCTTGAAACCAGCTCTCGAAGCAGCTGGCATTCATTTCGTCATGGTAATCACCTCCTTTCTTAGAGACGAAAATCAAGTCACACTCTTCTAAAAAGCCACTATCGCTACCAATATGAGTTACGATCAATCTTTGACCTTTCCCTGACGGTCCACGAAGACCTGTTGACAAACCTTCAATGCTTGCTTGTCGGTTACTCACTACGTTTTTGTCTATCCAGGTTTTTTAACTGTGTGACCTGCATTTACCCATGTCTCGTCCAAATAATAGATTTTTCTGCTTTGTCGCCTATATTCATTCATTTCGCGTAGGTATTTTCGACGCCAGGCGACTATTTCAGGTCTCTCTATCAATACTGACTTCCGATTACGCGTTTCGTAACGAAAATTAATTTCGTGCAGGGATTTCCTCATTACCTCGACGCTCATTTAGGGTATAATTTCATTTTCCTTGAACGCTGCATGTACAGCCTTGAGGGTTGGTATCTCATTCCTAAAGAAGAATGGATGTACGGTTCGCCTTAATGCCATTTTGCTATCGTCATCCAATTTAACGGCCTTTCGGCTCTTCAAATTAAACTTTGGATCAGTAGTAGCTCCAGTTTTTTTCTTTTCATGCACCACCCTGCGTATGGTCCACTCTGGAATGCCTGTCATACTTTCACAACGCGCGAGTGCATCTCCCTGCGACATAGTTCTGTTCAGATAATTGAACACATTGAGCACGATTTCTTTCGCGTCCCTCTTCAGTGCTTTACGAAGCCGTCTACTTGTTCCCTGGCTTTCAGTACTTCCACTCGTGCCATTTGTACTCTCCATGGTTAAGTATAACCAAAACAGTAACCACAGAAACCACAACAATAACAATCACACAACAATTCTTATAAAAACACACAATATGCGATCGCTCAACGAAACACGTTCCAATGCGTTGCCGACGCCTATGAGTCTGTCGGTCGAGGCGCGTCTTTGATTTCATTGGTTCTACCGGCGGAGAACAATCAGCCATTATGTCCATCTCTGTCTGTGCTTTTGACCACCGCAAAGCCACAGAAACGGCATATGTCGTACGCTATACGGCTGTACTGGAAGGAAGCCGGGATCGAGCTCTGATCACGTGTTGATCACGCGTATGAGTCATTACAGCTTTAAATAGTTGTAGTATAGTAATGCTAATGCGATCAAGGATACAAAACGCGATCTGAAGTTCATAGAACTACTTAAAAACAATGCCCTCTGTTAAAGCAAACGAAGTCGCAGGTAACTAGAATAAATCGTCTGTATCGCTTCTTGACTGTTACAGATTAGTTGGGGCGATAGCAGGCCGCGACATTGCACAAATGTTGATTGCAAAATCGACAATGAATAACCAACAATATATCTGTAACTTGGAAGGATTTTTATTTCAACAGGGTAACCCAAGCATGTGTTTTTTTAAATGTAAAAACCTACATTTTATTGAAGATTCGGATAGGCCTTTTCAAACAAAGCAATTGGTATCACATATCAATGGATATATTTTTAGGTAGTTGTGATATTGAAAATAATACACAACTGACAACTTTTACAGGTAAACATTTTCCGTCAGAAGAATTTTACTATCTCAAATTTCCTTTTAATCCGCCTATTCAGTTTTTTCGATAGACTATTCAGGGTAGACAAGGGACCAAGATGCACGATTTCTAAAAAATTTCAAATAGGACATCCTGTATATTTTCACACTTTTTGATTCCTTTTCACAAGCTTTTCTTGATATATGATTTATTGGAGCTTTTCCTAGTGGTTATTGAGTTACAGTTAACCTTTTTGTGACTTTGATGTCAAGGTAAATGGAAAATATCACAACAACTTTTGAAATAAAAATAACATTCAGTTAGTAACGGCAGATGGTGAAATTCGTGTATTTTCATTATAAATTAAATCTACCTAACCTTATGCGATAAAGTGGGAAAGTTAAGGAGGCGTTCGTGTGTTTTTAGTTAACGAAAAACCAGTTGAACCAACCTCCCTCCCTGCCTATATCGAAAAAAAAGCCTGTGGAAAGGTGGATTGAAATATGTCAAAGTATACAGGGTGTTTCATTTCAAAATTTCGAGAAATCGTTCATTTTGAATTTTTGACCACCCTCTATAAACTAACCAAAAAGTTGGAAAGGGTAGTAGACGGGGAGTGGCGGAGGTACGAACTGTCAAAGTTAGGTGGTATTCTCGACAGAATGTCTAACATATCAACAATTTGAAAAGAGTATCTATGATATATCAAATTGCTTCGTTTGGAAAGGCCTATCCAAATCTGCAATAAAATGTGAGTATTTCCATTTGGAAAATGTTTGGGTCACAACGCAGTTATAAATACCCTGTAAGAATAAAAACATTTCCCAAGCCAGGATGATTCGACAGCTACAATTTTTGTATTGAACTTTTTTGGATACCATGCGTAATAACAGAGCCGCACCCGCACTAGAAATTCACCCTGTATAATTTTTTGTAACTTAAAAACATCGTGTAAGAAGTCTATAATATTGAATACGTACCCCTACTGAGCGGGGCCGTGACAAATGCTTGTTCCGGAAGTTGTTGTATCCATTATACAACTTCTTACCGTTCAAGTGATTGAACACGCGTTAAGGAATACCTCAGTACCGATTGCCGGGCGGCGGTTCAAGTTCGCCAACGGGCCACTTTAGGTCTATTTAATAAAACTAACACATAAGAAGAAGGTGGTAGGCAAGGACCAGTCGACCGAGGCGGTACCACCCGCTAGCTTTTCCCAGGATGTCATAAATGTCCACATGTTTCCACACCTAAGCTATGCAGTCGATTATCTTCCAAAACAAAGACATTAATGATGATGGATCCCTCTAGCACTAAGAACTCCGGACGAAAACTCACCCTACTCTCGGAATGTCCAGGTCTAGTGTGGGCTCGATGGAACAACTTAGAAGATAAAATTTGTTTTTCGAAAATCTGCGGGATTAACAGCAACATTAATGCTGTTCATCACTACCTGCAATCCAATCGTCCGCCGTGCTTTTCTTGGCGGAGACAAAAATCTCAGAGTCTACACCGATCAACCACCTCAACGTCCCAAACTACGAGGTGCACTCCAATCTCTCTTTTCTGCTCCAGAGATGTTTCTTTGGAATCAGACCGGAAGGACACTCTGTGGCGTCGCCTCAACTCCAAACCATCACCCAAATTTATTTGCTGCCTTTATCGCTCTCCCTCGGAGCATAACTGAGATGACCTATTCGAATACCTCGCCGTCCAGATCGACTACCTGAACATCAATCACCCCGCTTCAGAGGTAGTTCTTCTCGGTGATTTCAATGCCCATAATGAGCTTTGGTTGGGCTCAAACAAGACCGATGCAGCAGGTCGTGCAGTCGAAGCGTTCGCTCTTACTCAAGGGCTGACTCAGCTGGTGACGAGCCCTACCTTTTTCCTCCGCGTCTCGTCACATGCCAGTAGCCTGCTGGATCTCTTTCTGACCACGCATCCTGTCCCTTACAGCACTGCTATCCTGTCCTCCCTGGGTAACTCAGACCACGGTGTTGTGGAGGTTAGGTTTCGGTCAGAAGCCGCTATGGCAGCAGAAACTGGTATTACGGACATGCCGACTTGGAGGGGCTCAGAGACTTATTTTCTAGCTTTCCTTGGAGAGATGTCTGTTTCCCTGACGCGGATGCGTCGGCTGCCTGTTCTTCGATAACAGAAGTTAGCCTCGTCGGAATGGAGGAATACATCCCTCACACAGTGAAATGGCCTAGACCAGGGTCCAATGGCTGGTTTAACAAATCGTGTGACACTGCTCGCCAGCAGCAGATCAAGGCACACATAACCTTCTTACAAAACCCCACTGTAGAGAACATACAAACCGACGTCGAGTCCAGAAACATATATAACGAAGCGGTTCGCAATACCAAAAACCAGCATGATATAAAAGTTAGGCACAGGGTAATGTCGCAGCGCAATGGCAGTCGGTCTTTCTGGACGCTGGCCAAGCAGATTGAAACGAACTTCTCACACAGTAGCCTTCCACCAGTTACGTGTCAGGTTGAAACTATTGTATTCGACTCAAAGGCCAAGGCGGAAGTGCTAGAAAAGATCTCTGCTGCCAACTTCACGTCCCCCCAACGCCGTTAATTCAAAGGGTTCACTACACTATGCGGAAGGTAACATTCAGGCGTAAGACAGTAAGACGAGTGCTCTTGTCGCTCGACATCAACAAAGCTTCTGGTCCGGACTTGATTCCTGCCATTGTACTGAAGAGGTGTACAGATGAGCTTGCTCCAGTTCTTTCGCGTCTCTTTCAGATATCTTATGAATCCGGCACCTTCAAAGAAAACTAGAAATTTGCTCATGTCCAACCCATCCCAAAAAAAAGGGATATAAGACCGATCCTTACAACCACAGGCCTATAGCTCTGCTTTCTGTTATAAGTAAGGTGATGGGGAGGTGCATAAATCGCGAGCTTCTGGACTACCTCGAACGTCATAGCTTGATTACTCACTGGCAGTATGGTTTCCGGTACCAACGATCCACAGGGGACCTCCTAGCTTACGTCACGCAATTGTGGAGTAAACTCATCCAGTCTTATGGTGAGGCTCATGTAGTTGCTCTTCACATCACGAAAGCGTTCGATCAGCTGTGGCACGCTGCCCTCTTAAGCAAACTTCTCATATGACGGGCTCTCCTCTTCATCCCACAGCGTCAACGCGGGTATTCCCCAGGGATCGGTCTTGGCTCCAAGACTGTTTATCTTACATATCAACGACCTCCTTTTCTGCACGATCAACCCAATCCACAGCTTCGCTGATGATAGCACTCTACATGCAGGAATTTAGAGTGACAAGCCGATCTCTGCCGCTGAGCTGGAAAAAAGAAGACTAGCGAAGACTTCCTCTCTGACAACAGACCTGGAGGCTATCACTGCTTGGGGTCGCAACAATCTTGTACAGTTCAATGCTTCCAACACACTGTACTGTACTTTGACGAAGAAAAAGCGTCCTAGCGTTCATCCAGTTTCGATGGACGGCCGAGTTCTGCCAACGAGCCATTCATTTCCGCTGGTCGGAGTCCAGATTACCGAGGATCTAATCTGGCACGAACACATCTCGTCAAAAGCTGCAGCTGCTGGGAAAAAGCTAGGCTATTTGTTTAGGGCTAAGAAGTACTTTTCTCCGCATGACATTCTCACTCTATACAAGCCCAGATAAGGACTAGCCTTGATTATTGCTCACACGTTTGGGGTGCTGCCGCCCCGACTACATTATCCCTGCTCGATGCTGTCCAGACAGACCCGCCTGACATTGGCGTCACATCCTAACCGTGTCGAGCTTCGTACATTCAGAACTGGCCGATACGACCGCTCCTTTGTCCCGAGGGTGTCGAGATTGTGGAACAGTCTACATGAGGAAGCTTTTCCTATTTATACTAACCTTAGGCAGTTCAAAAATCGTATTAACAAAATTTCTTTGGGATCACCATAGCAGCGGCGGTGTTCCGGCATTTAGGCTTCTGCCTGCGCGGCTGCGCCGATATAAAAAAAATATAAATTTTCACATCTTCTTTGGACTACAGATGTATGAATATTTTATAACAATGTGTGAAGTCAATTGACACTGTGTAGACACTAAAATTCTACTAAATCAAAAATTAAAACGTCAGTGAGTTAAGTCGGTGTTACTCTGTATTACGAGTAATAAAGGCACTATCATTGAGCGATAGTCTGCATTTACTTACAGGATCTGAAGACCATCTCTCCATAATCATAGGTCTAACATTCTCATCACATACAATTTTCTTCATTTCCTGTATGGATGGTGATTTTGGTACTATGTTGAAATAAGGCATTTGTTTGTTATCAACCTCGTTGTTTGTTACGGTTCTGCAACATAGTTCCCAAAAGACTAGCGATAGCGCATAAATGTCTGATTTCTTAAAATACTCAAAACAGGCCTTTCGAATGCTGAAAAAGAAATTATTCATTAGAGACTAGTTTGTTACTTTCCACGCAAATTGGCAAGAAAGTATGCCAATCGCCAAAATGAGATATGTTATTTGTCAGTTATTTCCGTCGGTATGTCTGTCTGTCTATCCGCTAATGCTTGGTCGCCCTGTAACTTGTTCAAAACCGCGCTGTCCTTGATAAAGTTGCAGTATGACAAAGACGAAGAAGCTTTGTTGGTTTTGGAACTACTAGCAAAAGCATTTTTTCCCTGATTTTGAGATGGGATTTCAAAATAAATGCCCTAATTAAAATTTAGTATGAAGTTTTGCCTCTTGTGCTCGATCATCAACTTTATTTCTTCGTATAGACACCATATTGAATTTTTGCATGGGTGAAAACAGAATGCTCAATCCTGACTCTAAAAATGTATAATATGTCATACACTGACATGGCCGAATGTTGGTTATTAAAAGAATGCAACTCTCCAAATTGTAATTTGTTTCATAATATCTTCAACCAAGCATGCCTTCAATTTTATGAACTAGGTATAGGTGAACAGTCCCATTCTCCGGTTTTAGTGGTGTGAAGTACACATTATGACATGGGCTGATATAAAATCTCTAATAATGAAGTAATGTCCTTTCAATTGATCTTAACTTCTCGAAGATAGAACAACTTAACGTTATTTTTTTTACATTATTAAAGCGTCGTAATGAAAACATTGAAAACACATCTTGGACGAAATACATGCTTCAACGATAAAGCGGCTACAAAAACACGTTTTATATCTACCATATTTATTATATATTTATAGATGCGATTAAAATATGGTATAGTGTAACTTGTATGCAAGAAACAAAATCGATTAAAATAGGTTGATTCTGCACTTCCCACGTAACGCTGTCATGAGCTCACAAAATATAATGTGCGGCATAAGTTAGTTCTTCTGAGAAAATACAAGCAGGTAGCTGCAAACCAATACAACTTAACTTTGTGATATTTTTTTCTAACCCAACCGAGAGTACCGACCATCTGGCATCGTTGCTTTGACTAACCTCGCCCATATCTAGCCGCTCGCCAGGCTCGGTACGACGACAGCCAGTACTGACGATGAAACATCTTATCGGAAAATTACCCCAAATCCCAATTTTCAAGCTTTTTAACAAAAAACAATCAGTTTTACCTTGAGTCTAAAACTTCCGGGCTCATATAACGTACGGTTCCAACTTGCACAAGCTGGGCCGACATTTGCTGGTTTTCATGATCGGCCTGTGAGATGGCTGATCCAAAATCGCCTATGCAGCAGCTTCCGTCAGATTTCACCAGTACATTCTTACTTTTCAGGTCTCTGTGAGCTATAGCTGGCTTTCCCTATAAAGGAGATGACTTATACCGTATAACATACTATTTAGTGCTTCTCTGTTTTTTTATTGCAACGTATATGCTCGTTTGCCTGAACTGTGGACTACACCAGCGCATCAAGCAATATTGTACTACTTTGAAATTACTATACCTGTATTCCGAGTATTTCGTGATGGAGGTGAACCAGCCCTTTTACTATAGAAAGGCTAAAATCTAGCGTTTTTGTGGTATTCAGGACAGTCTTCATTAAATAGTCAGAAAGATCTAATGGGTGGTACTGAGTCACAATCCAATGAGCGGTTATGCCCTCCCTTGTTACCGTATCTGACCCGAAGTATCCCAGGATATACTCATTTTTTACCAGGAGTGTGCTGAAAATATGAGTCAATTAGATTTTATATTAGATATCAGGTGGTAAGGGCATGGACGATCATACTTCTGGTAAGGCCAGCTCTTTAAAGGTCGTGGTTATTGCTATGCGATGTCAAATACCTTCTGCTCACGCTAACACCCATGGAACCCAACAACACAGATCCGGCAGCGGGTCGCTCGCGTTATTTTCTGACCAATGCGGTCTCTCACTTTGTTCGCTTCGGTCGTCGACGTTGAAATCATAATACGAGCTCACAGTGAAACGTAAGTTTTCAGGTAGTCAGATTATCATTTTTTTATTCTTTCTCTGAACTGATATAATAGTTATTTACTTAGCAAGCGCGGAAAGTGACACTACAAGCCGTCAAGGGCGGAAAATATACACTTCGGTATTAGGTATTAAATTTTTTCTACCAGCGTGCGGAAAGTACTCTTTCAACACACATCTGCATGCAAAAAGTAGTAGAAGGTCCTTACATCCTTACATCTAGAAACCTAGTTTTTATTTGTAGGAGAAAGTCAAGTGTTAGTTATACCACTTTTAGCCTTCAAGGAATGGAAAGGTCATTTTGATCTGTTTAGATTTTTCTATTTCATTATGAATCTTAATGGCAACTTATTTGATATCGATATAATGCTTTTTAAAATTCTTTTGAAAAAAAAACGAATTCAATCTTAGTTTAAGTAATGCTCATTGGGTATCTCTTACGAGAATATTTTTTGTATGTATTTGTCTCATTACAATATAGATTCAGGAATAAGGTAATAATAGTAACAATAAGAATGTGTAATGACGTAAAAGATGGTTATTGATACGCATTAAGCATAAAACACCCAAAGAAGCATACACTTCTGCCTAGGTTCACATACACATAAACAGATAAATGAAAAAAATATTAATATGTGGATGAAAATATCAGGAAACTTAATCAGGCTATTATGATAATTTTTATTTTAGAAATGTATTACAAACGTGCAAATAATGAAACATACTCTTTGGCTGTTTTAGTTTCTGTTTTAAAATTTTTTGGTGTTACTTATTATACTGAGATGCAATTGAAAAAATTTTGGGCACAATAAGAAAACAGTTCATCGTTCAATGTTTTTTATTTATTTTGGGACAGATACTGAATTTTCTTCACACCATGTTAGGTATTTGTGATGTATAGGATAAATCAGCATCTTTTTAAAAAGTGGTAGTAGTAAAAGTTAATTTGTCTAACGTCAGCTTCAGTATAGGTTCCTTAGTCCCACCCATACCTATATACCGTAATACAAAATAGGATGGACAAGAGCATGGTATAGAATATTCAAATATTTTTGTCTGAAAAGTCTGTAAAATAATTGAATTTTGGTACAAAACATCTTAGTCTTTTTACCAAATTTTCCGTATAAGCATTCCATTCTAAATGTTTGTCTAATGTTATACCTAAGTGTTTAATTTCGTCAACTGGTTTGGGACTAGGAAAATTTGGAGATAAGTCTTCCGTCAACTGAAAATCCAATGAAGCACGTTTTTTGTAGCTGATAGGCATAGTTCTCTTTAAGAAGAATTTTATCACAGTAGTAAAGTCGTTTTAGATTTTGATTTTCAAGGTGCACCAATCATTACTTTTACAAAGAATTGCTGTATTATTAGCAAATTGCATCACTTCACTTTCTTTATTCAAACCAAAACGATCATTAATATCTATTTGAATAGTATAGGAGCTAAGACCTTGGGACTGATCACTGATCGTTGTTCGCTTAAAGTATTGTTTATTTCAACTCACTGTTTTCTATTTGACATATAACTTTCTATGAGCTTATGCGTTGCCCCTTGGAATCCTAATTTTTTAAGAGACTTGTGGCTGATAGTATCGAATGCTGTGGCTAGATCAATGAAAATGCAGATACCTGACTCATTGTAAAACATGCTTTCATATATTTTATTGATTAGTTGTACATTCCTGAAAGCCATATTGTTAGATATAATGCTATATTTATTTGTGAAATCTGTAAGCCTTTTTCTGAGTGCCTTTCAAAATATTTTTGAAAAATTGCTTAACAGAGAAATTCGGCTGTAATTGCATTGATTTTCTTTGTCCTCGGATTTGAATAATGGCTTTTAACTGAGCGGACAACTTCCTTGAGAGGTACAATTATTAGCCTAATAAGAGAGTGTGCTGCAGATGTTGGAAAATTATTTTCTTCAGAGTGTACACTCTAATTTTATCTAGGCCTAGTGCTTTTCAAACTTCAAGTCCGTTGATTTTATTCAAGATATCATATTTGTCTATTGGTAGTAAATATAATTTGGCAGCCGAGTTTTATTGTATTTTAGCTTTACTTCATTGAATGTTTTTACTGATAAGTTTTAACCGACTTTCGGAACATATTCTCAAAATTCATCGACCACGACGATATCATTTCTTTGTCGTTTTCGATGCAAGTGATTGTGCTTTCACATTTTTTGTTGCATTTTTTCAACAAGCAACATTTTGATGATGACAACGTTAGTTAAAGGTCTGATGTATTATATTCGCAAGGTCTGTTGGAAGAATTTGATAAATCTTAAACTCAAATAATCAACTCTGTAATATAAGTGTTACTTATTAATACTTTGTTCGTTTCATTTATAGAGTAAATAAAGGAATAATTTGTTACATTGACCTTCCATGATTCATTCACCTTACCTAACCTGAAGAAGATTTACAAAAATTGCATGTATGCAAGTTCGACCAAAACGCTTTCTTTAGATAAATCTAGCTTTTATTAATAGTCATATTCCAAGTGTAGCGTCCCAAATTACCTTGAAGCACAGAGTTTTGTTTCGTTGTAACAACAGGAGACGAAAATGTCGCTTTAAGAGACCTTAAATTTATAACGTCTGAAAAAATCAAAAACATTCTCGCCTGTGTATAATCTCGACCTAAACCCGTTTCTTGCATAAAGGCTCCTCCAAACCAACGCGAATTCGTGACGGTGAATCCGCAGCGAATTTCAAGGCGGATTTTGAATGAAACCTAACACCAATGAGAATATAACTGCATCATTTACGTTGTATTTTCAGTGTCGAAAAGCTTGGATGCTAGTGATAAAAAATGATGTGTATGAATGACAATGTGATGATGGATTTATCGAACTTTTAGACTCAGTAACTTGGAAATTTTCAAAATGTGCAAAAATAATCCAAGGAAAACAGCAAGATCAGCATTTTTTGTACTAGAAGAATTTGTTACGTTTTATAACTCAGTAATACAATACGCTTCTTTGAGATAATCAAAATATTAATATTGTTAGAATTTCTGCGAAAACATTTATGATTATTTTTTTAAATAATGTAATGAGTTTCAACTTATCATATTCGCTAAGTTCTTAACCTATTTTAGTACAAAGCTCATACTTTTTGGAAACTATAGCCATTGTGCTAAACTACATATACCTAATATATGATACTCCTAATTCAACAATTTACTTCATTTCGATTATTTTCACTTTATGACGACAAAAACGCAAACTAAGTTTCCGTGCGAATAAATCGCAGACAAAACGAAAACAAAAAACGCCTAGTTTGAACTTGTTTATTTACCGCAGTGAAAAAAATATGCTGAAGAAGAAGAAAGACTGACCGGAACGCGAGATGTTTCGAGAAGGTTTATTTCTGATGAAAATGAGCTACGTGGTCGACATATTCGAGAAACTGAATATCTTGAACCTGCAGCTCCAAGGAGCAAATACTATATTGGATACGAGTGATAAAGTTAACGCTTTTTGTAGAAAATTGGAACTGTGGAGCAGAAATTTAAAGCAAAAAACCTGGAAATGTTTGCAAATGTGAATGATCGTATTAAAACTTACAAGTTTGAAGAACAACAGATGGATGTTGTTCAAAACCATTGAAAAATCATTTAGCGATGCTGACAAAGAATTTTGGAAAATATTTACTTGGAGACGACAAATTAATGCCTAGTTACGAGTCGGTTAGGAATCCGTTTCAAATTACTCCCGAAGGGCTCCCAACTGCCGAAGAAGAAATCTTCATAGAGTTGACGGCAAACGCCAAAATCAAAAAACAGTTTAATAATAAATCCCTCTTTGAATTTTGGGCAGGCGTGAACGATGAGTTTTCGGCAATGAAAAGCAGAGCGTTTCGTATACTACCATCATTTTCAACATCCTACCTTTGCGAAACAGGATTTTCGGCGGTGGCTGCTTTGAGGACCAAATACAGGATGTCCGCAAAGTTAGGGTTTTCCTTTTCAGAAACAACTACCGTTGAAATAACAAAGGTAATGTGTAGTGAAACGAGGGCGACCAAGGAAAAAGTACTCACTCTCCAGTTGACGAGAAGGGCTAAGTACGTCTTTGCCTGAAATCTAAAGTTATTCACCCCATTACGCGTGAACGTAGATTCGTCTGTCACCAATATGCACTTCAAAAAGTCCGGATTATTGTCATGTTGATGCAACAACCACTCACAAAACCGCACTCTTGCTGGAAAATCGTCAGGTTGAAGGGCTTGTACACGTTGGACGTTTGCTACACTTTAGTTTTTGATACTTGCACTTCTCTAGCCACGTCTCTAGTGCTTGTTGAGGGGTTCTCGTCTACGCGATTCAGTAGTTTTTCCTCAACTTGCTCCATTCGTGGTTGTCTAGGCCTCCCACTGTGCCCACCTCGAAATTCCTCCAAATGTATCCCTGACTCTCTGATATACAAATCTGCGGGGCCTTGGATGATGTCGTCTAGGGAAATGATCTGCATACACTCGCGACGATTCTGTACCATTTTGAAGACATTCGCCATAAATTAACAACATATCAACGGGTTCATTATTGGTGTATGAGTGTGCCATTATTATTTTTTTTTTGAAACGCAATCGATTATACGGGTTCGTTACCTCTATACGCGTGACCCTTTACCATCGGTTGAAGGTTGCAGACTGACCTGACACACTGACCCCGACCCCCGACCCAGTTCTGTCGTCGGGTCCAGCTAGTAGCCGGTACCAGTCTGAGATATCGCGGGTCGCGGCTACAGGACGGTATTCAGATATTTTTGATGTTGCAGAGCTCTTTATGTCGGTTCCCTGAAGACATTGGTGTATGTGGTACTAAGAAAAATTGCTTATGTTTTCAAGATCTACACGTCGTGTAAAGGAAAACCCCAACTTTGCGGACACCCTGTATAGATCGCAGCTAAATATAGAAAAAGAACTCAGAGTGTCTTTTTCAAATATTAAACCTTGTTTTGACAAGCTTTGTTCCGCAAAGCAGGCCCAAGGGAATCACTTGTAATTATTATCGTTTTTTACAATTAATATTATTTAACTTATTTTTAATTTGGTACTGATAAATGCAGTCTTATTTATAATTGTACAACTATTTCAGTATTAATGTGTACTTTATTTTTTATTATATCAGAATTTTGTATTTCTTTCCTTTTAGTAAATTATTCAGTGTTGTTTTTCCTGATCTGCTCGCGCGCCCCTTTAGATTGATGCGCCCCAAAGGTTGAGAGATGCTGTTCTAGACCATGTCGGAGTTAGTGTACCAACCTACTCTAGTGTATCGACTATCACCCGCAGCGAAGAATGAAAATGGGTAAACTAAAATGTTTAAGCGTTAAGTTGAATTCTCTTTTTACATATACTACATTTTAATTCACTTACCTATAGATTTCTGTCTCCTTCATCCAGACGACTCCATACTTTGACGGTAAGACTTTAACTGCCACTAACTCTTCTTTCCATAACCCTTTCCAAACTTCACTATACCTCCCTTTCCCAATACGTCCCATTAAATCAATCTGATTGGCAAGGTTTCCATACTGCAAACTGGATCTGTCACAATCAGTCTCAGCTTGAGGATCTTCAACGTTTTCCTCAATATCCTCTTCAAAACGCACTTTGAGGTAACTCTTCAAGCAGGGCACTGCTACACACACTATCATCACAAACAGTGCCACCGCGGGTGCAAATACGAGCATCATCTTTATAGCGAGCCATGTGGTATCGACTTCTGAAATTGTTGAGCAAGTTGCATTCAACACCTTCTCTTCCATTTCTAAAACACACTGGAAACCAGTTGTCGGTAGATAGGAGTTTGAATACATCTTAACAACACGAATTGTCGACTAACAGTTCAACATAAATGTTAAATGTTGTAAATGCACGTGCGAACCAGGTATATATAGGCGGCATATTCAGGTAAAAGTACACAATGTGATCAAGATATATTCTACCGGGATTAAAAAGGTTATCATAAATGCCGGGACAAATTCAGGGAAAAGAAATGATTATGCAGATTGAGGAGTGGTAGTCTTCATCATAAACATCAGTGGTTACCTCTGTAGAATGGGAAACAATTCAAAAGATCAGAAAGGGATACCAAAGTAGATTAGATACTTTGGTAGTTAGGTCTGTTTCTGGGTTAGGAAAAGATTTAAAAGCGTTCCAACTTACAAAGCGTTTTCTAAGGCCCGTATCGTCAGCCGTCCCTACAATTGTAGGGCGCCTTTATGGCCTCCTTGATTGTCATAGTTTTCTACTTCTCCGTGTCAGAACTCTATTTTGAGGTAATGTCACAAACATCTATTTGCATCAAATTGTGCTTGCTTTTGAGTTATATCATGTTTTATCAGCATGAAATTACCTACAATTTAAAAAGAAAACATATCTTCACAACAGGAGAGCGCTGACCCTGATACGGGACAAGTATAATCTAGAAATTTTTGAAGGAGAGAAAGGAGTATGACAATCAAGGAGGCCATAAACGCGCCCTACAATTGTAGGGACGACTGCCGATACGGGCCTAAGCCATCGAAAGTACTCTATCGAGAAATTCCGCATTTAGTTTTTAAAAAAGCTTCAGCTTCGTAATAAAGAACTTTAACCGGGAGTAAAGGTCTTACCTACTAGTCTGACATAAAATGATGAATAGTAAGCTTTTCGTTTCCAAGACATGTCAAAAATATCCTAAGAAATTTCTTCGTGAAATATCTTCAGAACAATTTAGCCGATTTTGGCGAAACTTTGCTTCATAGAAGTAGACTGGTGTCACTTGGATTTGAACCAGGCTTTCTAGAGGGCGCTTTTAATTTTTGGATATAACCCTTCGCCTTTTGCGTACTGCGTGGAATTTCGCATAAGAAAACAACAAAAAAGTCCTTTTTGAGTTAGTTATACTATAACGCTACTGCTTCAGTAAACCAAATCGTTTATACAGGGTGTTTGATTCATCAACCAACAACATTTTTTGAGCGATTGAGGATGCTATTGGATGATTTCTGATGGAAACCGCAATGCTCTAAGTTTAAGGGCTACGGTTACCGAGATATGATCGTTTTTTTTTTTACTGAATTTCCGACAAATGCGCATAAATATCGTTTTTGTTTCCAGAGGTAATGACATAAAACAAACGTGGGTCTGTTCTGTACTGTACTCAATCTAATGTACTCAATGAGATAAACAGTTCGTACAAATCTTCCCAAATATATACTTATGACCTTCCAAGGTCATACAATCACGTAGAGTGTATAAATAACTTGAAATTCGAAATTCTATTATGAAAAAACTATACCTTTTTTAAACCTAGTTTTACTTAAAAAACTTGTTTGATTTATTGCCTTTCCAATGATATGCTTCATTTCGTGTCATTGTCTCTAGAAGCAATAAAGTTATAATTATATTTATATTATATCTCGGTAACCATCAAAAAATCACCAACTAGCGTCCCCAATCGCCCAAAAAATCTTGTTGGTTCATGCTATATATTATATTGAATTTTGCGGAAAGCTTCACATCTGACACATAATGATGAATAGTAAACGTCTCGTTTCCAAAGACGTATCGAAAGTGTACTTAGAATTTCTTCGTCAAATATCTTCAGAACAACTTGGCCGATTTGGACAAAACCTTGCCACTAAAGAGCTTCGTAGGTGTAGACCGGTATTACTTGAATCTCAATCTGGCTGTCTAGAGGGCGCTTTTAATTCTTGGATTATAACTCTGCATCTTTTGTGTACTGCATAAGAAGAACGACAGAAAAGTCAATTTGTAGTTACTTATACTATAACGCTTCTGCTTCAGTAAACCAAATCGTTTATAGTAAGCTAGAAAAGCTAAATTCAGCTCGTCTAAAATCCGCCGCGGGGCTTCATAAGGAATCGCCATAGGATTTTCTATCAAAATGGAACGGCTAAGGAATAAAGTAACAATAACGATTTAACAGATTACTAGTCGAGGATCAGTTGAAAAATGCAATTTATTTTAAGGCTAGAGCCGATTTGGAATAGGCCAGGGCTGTTAGAATCTTTGGTTGAAAAAGCGCTGTTGCATTTTCCCAGCAAAAAGTATGATAATTCTGGTCTACTTCTAATCGGGAACTTGGACCCTTTTGCCTGCCACAGCTAGAACGAACTCCAGGCTTCTGCCCTAGTTTACGCCGAAACCGAAATCGAAACGTTTTAGGCTTATGAAAATGTACACAATTCTTTGGAATATAGCGGTTTACAGTCATAAAGATGTAGATCCACAATGAGATTGTTTAATAATACCTTTGCCTCGTGAAATAAAAATATCATGAAAAGTATTAATTGATTGTGGAAACACGCATGAGATAAACTCGTGAAACAACGTCTCATTAGAGTTTAATATCTTGTAGTTTCAACGTGTAAACATGATATATTGCGAATCTCATATGAGCATTTATTTCACGTGTTGCACGTGAGTTACATTGTTATATAGTGAGATAAAACTTGGGTTCAGGAAAATGAGCGAACCAAGTGAAAAACAAAAATTCTAGTTTCAATTGGATTAGAGCCATGATAGAAGAGTTAACAGTGTTATATGAATCATATCCCAATTTATGTTACTGCTCGTCAGGAAGCTATGAAAATAGAAATCTGCAGGAGTTGCATTTCAAATATGTGTGTCTTAATTTGCTAGTGGAAACTTTAATTTGTCCAGCAAACGCCAAAGATCAGCAGCGGATATTCTAAGAAAGATTTTATCCTAATCTTCCCGTTTTAATTGTTTTAATAATTTTTTAATTATTTAATTTTTCCTCTTCTTAATCCAGTTCCTCACCCAACATTTGTGAAGCCTTTTGTTTAGAGTACGGGACAACAAGCAGCCCCTTTTAATTTATACTTTTTTATTGGCATCTTTAACCCGCAATTATTTGTAAGTGCAGTGAAAACAGCCGAGCTCAGACACACACACACACACTGTCTCATGTGAGAGCAAAAATTGCAACTAGCATAACTTGAGTGTTTCGGAATGTGTGGAATCACACCCGATATAAATTACTCGTGAGACAAAAATCTCGTAGGATTTTAGTCTCCTTGTGGACACTTAGCTTTAGGGCAGTCGAATAATTTATCTCTCATAATGTTTGTTTCTCTTGCTCAGTATTGTTACAAGTAATGAAATGCTATAGTTAATTTGTGAAATAGAACATTACATGCCCAGGCTTTAAAGTGGAACACTAGTTGTTGGGTACTTTTATATAGGATCTTTTTTGGCAGAAATATGGATGAAACCGAAGCAAAACCTTCAGTTGGTCACTAGTCTCTCGTAGTGGGCTATACAGGGTGTTTCAGTTTATTGACATAGTTTATAAACACACAAGTGTCAGTGGCTGAGACGTAAAACGTAATGGCGGGATAGTGAGAGACTAGCCGAGAGTGTCTGAAGTTGAACGGACATGATGCGCAATCGGTTTTTACTTTACATACAGGGTATTTCAGTTTATGGTTGCATAACTTTAGGATTTGATAGAAATTTTAAAATTAATGCATAAAGTCTATATAAACATGGGTCGAAAAATGCGTGGCTTCCGAAATACAGGGTGTTTAAATTTACTTATATATTTCGAACAATATTTGATCAATAACAGTGAAAATTGGTACACAAGGGTTTTTTGGTACGACAAAACGAACCATGGACATATATTTACTGTAGCCGCTAGAGGGCGAACTCTACTGTACCTGTAGTGTATTAAAATGACCGAAAAAATTTTCTCACTGCAATTTTTTACTCTTTGAATAAAAGAACTGATTCTTTGCACTTTTCTCCATAAAAAAGCTCTCTTGTGAGTTTTCGTTGTAGTTAACCGTTTTTGAGATATTTCGATTTTTAAGATTCGATGCATTTTTAATCATTTATGGGAAAATAATATTTTTTTTACATTTTCGATTTGGGCATTACAAGTAATTAAGATGATCGTTTAGATTGTGCTTTTAAACACAGCAATAATTCCTAACTCCAAATAAACACAAAAAAACAGGATATTAATTTGTTTAATTTTCCAATATTACTTTTAACAAATTAAGTTAATTATTTACAACTAAAATGCTATTGGATAGTTAGGACAAACATATAAAATCTAAAGTAGTTGCTCGAAATGTAAACCCAATTGTTCAATACACAATTCACATCTACGAATGGTCGAACGTGGTATAGCATTATTCAAATAAGGCCTTATTTCATCACATGCACTCCTGATTCTGTCTATTAGCATATCTCTTGTGGTTACGGTAGTCTGGTACACTTTTTATTTTAGAAATCCCCACACAAAGAAATCTAATGGATTTAGGTCAGGGGATCGTGGAGGCCAGGCGACTGGTCCTCCACGGCCGATCCATCTTTCTGGATAATTTTCTTCCAGCCAGTTTCTAACTATTCTCGAATAATGAGCTGGACAACCATCAAGCTGAACCAGGCCAATCTTCTTAAATCTAACATAACATCATCCCACATATTTGCATGTTCAGCCTTTAAAAATTCCAAGAAGGTCGCAGCATTTAAGCTTGCAGGCAAAAGGTAGGGTCCAAATAGTCGATTACGGTAGATACCAATCCACACGTTCACACTAAATTCATGCTGAAGATTTCTTTCCCGAACTGCATGCGGATTTGCATCCGACCAAATATGTTGATTATGAAAATTTACCACTCCACGTCTAGTGGAGCATGACTCATCGGTCCATAAAACGTTACTTAAAAACTCCCTATTATTATCAGTTCTATCAAGAATCCAAAGACAAAATTTGATTCTTGGTTCTCCGTCCCCTGGCTGTAGTCCTTGCACAGGTTGCAAATGGTAAGGACGTCTATGGTCATTTCTAAAAACACTGTGAATATGGCTTGCTGAAATTCACAAGGTACCAGAAACTCTCCTAACACTTGTGGTCGGATCTCTATCAAACTCACGCAGAATCATACGGGTGAATCTGCGCTGCGAAAATTTATGTTTTGGTCCCTTTGGAGATTTCCAAAACCATTTTCAATTATTTGGCGATGCACTCTTACAAATACTGAGCGAGTTGGATGTCGTTTGTTTGGAAATCTTCGTGCGTATTCTCTGACTGCTTCTGCTGCGTTTCCATTTACAAAGCCATACACAAAATGAATATCCGCTAACTCTTGATTGGAGAATAAAAATGGCATTTTTATAAAACTTACAAAAAAAAAACAGGTAAAAGAAACTAAATTTCGTGCATTCACAATAGCAAAAAAACGTTTCAGGTTTCAACAGACAACAAAACTAACTGTCAACTAATTGACGTTTAACCTTATTCTGCTTTCAATTTCAAAAATATTTACAGGCACAGCCTACTTCTAAAAATTATCGAGATACTGACTTTTTAACGTTATTTTATCATAAATAATTAAAAATGCATCGAACCTTAAACATCGAAATATCTCAAAAACGGCTAACTATAACGAAAATTCACAAGTGAGCTTTTTCATGTTGAAAAGTGCGAAGAATCATTTTTTTTATTCAAAAAGCCAAAAATAGCACTAAGAAAATTTTTTTGGTCATTTTAATACACTACAGGTACAGTAGAGAGCGGCCTCTAGCGGCTACAGTAAAACTATGCCCATGGTTCGTTTTGTCGTACCAAAAAACCCTTGTATACGAATTTTCACTGTTATACATCAAATATTGTTCGAAATATTTAAAAAAAACTATTTTAGAAAGTAAATTTAAACACCCTGTATTTCGGAAGCCACGCATTTTTCGACCCATGTTTATATAGACTTTATGCATTAATTTTAAAAGTTCTATCGAATCTTAAAGTTATGCAATCATAAACTGAAACACCCTGTATTTAAAGTAAAAACCGATTGCGCATCATGTCCGTTCAACCTCAGGCACTCTCGGCTAGTCTCTCACTATCCCGCCATTACGTTTTACGTCTCAGCCACTGACACTTGTGTGTTTATATTGCTTTATAATGTGCTCAGCAAGAAGGTTCGTCCTGTTGAAATTCACCAGCAGCTTATTGAATAAGGCGCGCTACTCAAAACTGTAGAGCGGCGGAGCCTAATATCTAAAGGCGTCGTTCTGGTTCATGGCAATGCTTGGCCCCACGATGCGGCCAAAACACAAACGCAGCTGGGCAAGTTTCACTACGATTTACTGGATCATGCACCATTCAGCCGTGACTTAGCACTTTCAAAGTCACATCTTTTTCAAAACTTAAGGTATTTTTTAGTGGAAAGAGCTTGGGAAATCATATGTTGAAAGAAACAGTTTAACGGTCAGACGGCACCGTTCTTTGACAACGAGATCCAAATGTCTCCGTTACTGCGACTACGTTAGAAAATGAAAAAAATGTAATATTTTAGTGATACAATTTACATTCATAAATAAATTTTTTCTGACTCCATCACAAAACAGTTCATACCCAAAAAGTGACCCTTGTATGACAACTGTAGTGATGAAATAGAATTACGGAATGTCTATTTCCTGCAAGTAAATGTATTCTTCGAGAATGTACCGTGAGATGCATGGTTGACAGAAAAACATCACACGTACCTGAGTGTACATGCACTGGGTGCCAACGGCGTGGCAGTCTCCGCCACATGATCCTGCAGGAACTGGCACAGGTCCCCCATAACTCCGTACTCTCGAACCGCGTATAAGGGTTCCTCATCAAGGCTAGCCCCCAGCAATCTGGACACGTTCGGATCCTTCAGTCGCGCTAGGGCTTTCACTTCCTGGACAAACTCCTCCCGGAAGGTCTCTACCTGCAAAGGAGGTATGGCGATTAATAGCTTTCAAAACATGGGGCGAACGTTCAAAGAGCGATTCTTTAAACTGATGTAAGAGTATAAGAAGCACAGTATCCTATAAAACATTTACTTCCTTTTTCAGGGCTCACCAAATAATACATAAAAAAATAAATTTTCAAACACTAACTTTACATTAATTAGCAATTTAGATAATAGAAACGAAGTGAAACATACTTATTTTGGTTAAGACATTATATAAATGACCTGTTCAAACTAATCCCCTAATGTACAAAATACTCAGCCTCCAAAAAGAACTTTTAACTCATTTATTTTGGATAAAGTCGAGCAATGTGAAGTATACACCACTGTTATGTCCTTAAAAAATCGGAAAAGTCCTGGGTTCGATGGTATTAAAGGCGAGCATTTGAAAATTATAGCCGAGGACATAACAGAACCACTCACTTACCTAATCAACAAATGCTTTGAGTCTGGTATATATCCCTCAATTTTAAAAAAAAGGTAATATAATACCGATACATAAATCAGGAACAAAAACAGATGTTAACAACTATAGACCAATATCAATAATATCCAGTGTAGCAAAGGTTTTTGAGAAAGTTTTATCTACTAGAATGATTCGATACCTCACAAAATTCAAAATTTTAAGTGAAAATCAATATGGATTTACAGAAGGGAAGGCTACATCGGACGCAATAACTAAAATTGTAAATCAAACACATCAAAATATTGATAACAGAATCCCTTCAATCTGCATTTTTGTTGATTTAAAGAAAGCTTTCGACACAGTTAATCACAAATTATTATTAGAAGCATTGGAGAGAATTGGTTTCAGAGGAAACGCGTACTCACTGATCGAAAGTTATTTGTCAAATCGCCCACAATCTGTGCAGATATCAGGATCATTTAGTAAAGAAATGTATATTAAGTGTGGTGTCCCACAAGGAACTGTCTTAGGTCCGCTGTTATTCAATATATATTTAAATGATATTTTCCAAATTAATTGTGTTGGCAAAATAACTAGTTTTGCAGATGATACTGCAATATTATATGAAGGCACTGACTGGTCTGATCTAAAAAATATAATTCAAAATGATTTTATCAAAATTATTCGGTGGTTTAACAGTAGAAAATTAAGCATTAACTACTCTAAAACACATTTTTTACCATTTGGATCTTATGCTAGACATCTGTCAAATTACACAAATTTCTCCTTCAATATTAATGATCAAAAAATGCAAATTGATAGAGTGCCCAACATAAAATACCTTGGAGTGGTCTTGGATCCTCACTTACGATGGGGCATCCATGTCAATTATATTTTAAAGAAAGTTAGATTTGTATCCTACAAAATTAAATACCTTGGGAATATATTGACAGAAAAATATCTTCGAACATTATACCATGCACTGATTGAGCCTCATCTCACATATGGTATATTAGCATGGGGAGCTGCATGTTCCTCACATATCTATAATTTAGATGTTTTTCAAAAAAGTATTCTAAAAATGATATTTAAAAAACCGAAACTTTATCCCACTGAAAAATTATACGCAGATGTTCGAATGTATGATATAAGACAGCTTTATTTCTTACACAGTATCACTCACTACCATAAATTTGTAAACACCAACCAAAAAATTAAACATAATCATTATACCAGGTACAAAATTCGTGGCACAGTAGTTCCTCAACCGCATAAATCTATAATGCAGCGATCATATCTCTATTTAGCGCCTAAATTTTATGAAATTATACCTAAAGACTTAAAAGATTTACGTTTCGGAAATTGTTTCAAAAGAAATTTAAAAAAGTGGCTACATTCTATATCTAGGACTGAAATTCATAAACTCATAAATACGAACATCAACTAAATACATAATCTACTGTAGCTAATTTTTGTCCTTTTTTGTCATTTGCATTCTACAGTTCCAACTTAAATTTATTGGTCCATGTACAGGCGATGCCTTCTATTGGGCCTGTTTTGATTTTATATATTATTTATTTACTCATATTGTTTGTTATCTTTGTACATTGAGTGAATAGATATTATTATTATTATTATTATTATTATTATTAATTTCATTAACAAAATAGCAATTCCCAATATAACAAAAAAAAAATAAAAATAAGAGAGATAAAATGATTAAATAGATATTTAAAAGACGAATAAAAAGTATTTCGGTGTTCGATTATCAGATAAAAAGAGGCTATAGCGAACTCACCCTTGTACAAACTGTGGAGGTCAAAAAATAATCCAACGTTATGCACATCAATTTAGACTGCAACTGATAAATATAACGAAACGAAAGACTATTACGAGGTAGGGCTAGACACAGATTGATGAAAGTGAGAAAGATATTCCTGAATATTAAGAATCTTACATAGTTTTTGTTATATTTGATGTTTTGTCATTTTTGATAGGTTCCACATATCTGTCAACAAAAAGGCAAAACAAATATAACAAAAAATAGGTCACATTTTTACCATTCGGAAATATCTTCCTCACTTCCATCAATCTGTGTCTAGCTGTATCTCGTAATAGTCTTTCGTTTTATTATATTGGTCATTTGCAGTCTAAATGATTTCTAAGATGTTCATAATGTTTTAAATAGTATATAATTTTTTCTGATAATCGGTCTTGAAAAGCCCTTTTTTATTCATTTTCTAAATATTCTATATTAATTTTCTTTTATGTTGGGAATTGCTATCTTGTTGAAATTCTGGAATGAGTTCAAATAGCTCATCTTAAATAACATCTTAACCAAAATAAGTATCTTTTAGTTCGTTTTTATTATTTAAGTTGTTAGTTAATTTATGTAAAGTTGATATTTTAAAATCTTTTGTATAGCCCTGCAGAAGGAAATATTTTTATCCGAAACATCGGCAACTTTACAACAGGAAGCTGTGTTTATTTAGACCCCAAATCCAATTAGTTACAAGAAACTTATACAGGGTGTTCCTTAATGATATGCGAATATATCAGTGTGTGAATCTACATGAAAAATTAATGTTAGTTTGCTTTATAAACTATGGTCCAAAAATGTTTCCTCACAAAAACTCGAGGTGTTGAAGTTTTAGGAAAAAAATTAATTATTATTTTCAGAACCGCTTCAGATATTTCACTGATATTTAGTACGTAGTGAAAGTTAATAAAGTTGCAAATTTTTCAATGCAAAAATAATGTTTAGCTTTAACAGTGGCGTGCGTACGGGTATTGACTTCGATATTTTAAAAAAATGGTGCGCAAATGGTTTTCTGCCAAATAAAAATTATTTTTGAATTCCCCGTTCAATTTAAAACGATCTCTCTTGAATTGTTTTCCTTTGATGTACCATTTTTGAGTAAAAAGATAAAAGCCGTTCTTTTGTCCGTGAAAATTATTGAAGAATGCAATTTAGCAATAAATATCTAGTTGCTCTAGAATACGTCACTGGCTTTTGACATCTGACATGTCTCTGTTGTTCAAATCTGTTCGCTGTGACATCTTTTTCATTATTTAGTTTTTACAATCTTGTTGATAATGGTGAATTACTCAAATGCTGAAATGGCGGAAATGCAATACGTATATGGCCTTGCCAACGGTAAAGGTGAGCAGGGCAGACGGATTTATCACCAGAGATATCCCGATCGTGCTTTGCCAGATAGTCGAACATTTTCTAATATTCATCCTCATCTTGTTGAAACTGGTTCTGTCCGAAAAGTAACATCTGAAGGTAGACATTACTTCTCATTGTTTTTCCAAGGCGTGTGACCTTTTGTCAGTGGTGTCTTAAAAAAATTACACAAAATCCGCAATTTGAATCAATGATTATGTTCACTGACGAAGCTAATTTTTCTCGAAATGCCATTTAGAATTTCCACAATAACCAATTGTGGGCAGAATAAAATCCCCCGTTACCGAAACCCATTTCCAACACCAATTTTCGGTTAACGTATGGGCTGGAATTATTGGCAACCACTTTATTGGCCCATTATTCTTGCCGGGACGACTTGGCGGACAGACTTACCCCAATTTTCTTCAACAACAGTTGCCTTTGCTGCTTGATGATATTCCGTTAGTAATAAGAAACAATATGTGGTACATGCATGATGGTGCACCAGCGCATTTCAGTGTAGCGTTTCGTAATTACTTACAAACTGTTTATCCAAATCGTTGGATTGGCCGCGGTGGGCCCCAGGCATGGCCACTAAGGTCCCCAGACCTCAACAGTTCAGATTTCTTTCTGTGGAGCTATCTTAAGACACTAGTGTATACAAGTCCCATTAACACTGCAGAGAAATTAAGATAAAGAATACTCGTAGTTGCAGCTTGTGATAGAATAAAAAACAGTCCAGGGGAATTTCAACGAGTGCGCAATTCCATGAGGAGGGTGGAAGCATGCATACTAAGTGGAGGGGGCCATTTTCAACAATTTTTGTAATCATTTCGTTGGTTTTAATGTTATGTTTATGTTGTCAGTTGTTGTTGTTCATTACTCCTAATGTGTTTAATTTTTCCAATTAAATTAATAATAATTTTGCAATTTAGACAATAGAACGATTTTTATTTTTTTACTCAAAAATGGCGCATCGAAGGAAAACAATTCAAGAGAGATCATTTGTTTTAAATTGAACATGGAATTCAAAAATAATTTTTATTTGACAAAAAACCGTTGGCGTACCATTTTTTTCTTAAAAAATATCGAAGTCAATACCAGCATGGAAACCACTGATAAAGCTAAAAATTGTCTTTGCATTGAAGAAGATGCAACTTTATTAACTTTCACTACGTACTAAATATCAGTGAAATACCTGAAGCGGTTCAGAAAATATTAATTAATTTCCATTTTTTTCCTAAAACTTCAACACCCCGAGTTTTTGTATAAAGCAAACTAACATTAATTTTTCATGTTGATTCACTCCATTAAATATTCGCATATCATTCAGAAACACCCTGCATAAAAGAGGTCATTAGAAGGATAACTTTGTCCGCTTGCAATGATTAAGATAGAATTTGCGTCTGAATAGGACATGTTTGCTATCTCTTCCTGTAACCACGATCAAGCGCACACAACGCTGTTTCATGCTTTCTGGCAATCATCAGTATGGTACAGTTCTAGTTTTCGAGAAAACACAATCGGAAAGCAAGCAACAGGATATGATCTGTTAAAGAATTCAGTATGTAGTATGCGAGTTGGTGACGCTGCTACTTATGTTCAGTATCACCAAAACAAACCACCGACCTCTACGTCGGTAAGATAGAACCTATACGCTTTATAGACAACCCATCAGTCAGTGAAATACGGAGGCGCTAACATTACTATACAGAAGTTCCGGTCGGTGGTACCTCTTTGCGCATTGTATACTGAATTTTCCAGTAGACTGTATCCACGTTTTCAGGTTGTTTGTTCACCAAGACTAAGGCCCGTATCGTCAGTCAACCCTACAATTGTAGGGCGCGTTTATGGCCTCCTTGATTGTCATACTCCTTTCTCTCCTTCAAAAATTTCTAGATTACACTTGTCCCGTGTCAGCGTCAGCCCTCTCCTATTGTGATGATATGTTTTCCTTTAAAATTGTAGGGAATTTCAGGCTGATAAAACATGATATAACTCAAAAGCAAGCACAATTTGATGCAAATAGATGTTTGTGACATAACCTCAAAATAGAGTTCTGACACGGAGAAGTAGAAAACTATGATAATCAAAGAGGCCATAAAGGCGCCCTACAATTGTAGGGACGATGCAGGGACGGCTGACGATACGGGCCTAAAACCACGCTGTAGGCGATTGATCATGGTTACAGAAATGGAAAGCTAAGAGACCCTGTTCATCCTGCGATTAGTTTATGCAAAACTTGAACGGATAGCATCTTTTTTGAAGAAAAGTCTCAATAGAAGGTTGCTGCGGTTGGGCGAGTTCCCATATCACCGAGAACTTGACCTGACACGAACACATCTCACCAGTAGTAACACTTGCTGGGAAAAGGCTGGGCTATTTGTTTAGAACTAATAAGTACTTTTCTCCATATAACCTTCTCGCTCTTTACAAGGGTCAGATGAGACCTAGCCTCGAGTACTGCTCACATGTATGGGAAGCTGCTGCATCGACTACATCAGTCATGCTCGATGCTATTCAAAGAAGAGCTGCCCGACTGATCGATGACTCTTTTCTAATGGACAGTCTTGGGTCCCATTCGCACCGACGGGTCGTCGACGACCAGGCGCTCTTCTACCGCTATGCCAATTGGCATTTCTCCTCAGAGCTATCCTCCACGATGAGCCTTTCAGGCAGATTGTGGAGGCTTTTCCAAGTCTAGTAATTTTAGGAAGCGTCGAAATAAAAAAGCCTTTGATTCAACTGATAGAAACTGATGCCAGATGAAGCGATTATATGTATGTATATCTTGGTTCTTACTTTGAGCGTATGCAGTACCACCAACTTATTAGGCGCATCCTCAGGCGACTCCAGCATCTCGCACAGATGCACATCTCCGAAATGTCCCTCGCCGATTTTATCGACGATGCGGAACTTTTCCCTAGGAAACTTCTGAATTGACACCTGTGGCTCCTCTTCTAAAGCGCTGCTTGAATCACCCGCACTTGCTGTCTCATCGTCTGGCTCTGGGCTTAGGGGGAGCATGAAGTGGTTTTTCAAGCTGCATCTGCAAAGCAATACAGAAATCACTAAATTAGTTATTTGACATCATAAATATCGATGAGTCAAACAAGTGAAATAAAAAAATACATTTTTTAAACAAGCTTTTATTTAAACGATAAGTACGATAAAACTCATCTACTTCATCTAAGTTTTCAAATAAAATCGTATTATGTTTTAAACAGGTTGGAAAACAGGGTGCGACACGCTTTGATTTGAAAGAGATTTATTATCGTTTGAATATTTCCAATCAGAAAAAAATATTTTAAAAGTTTTAGTTAATATACAGGGTCAAAGAGTTTTGGATGAAGCCATTCAAGTTAAAGCTTTGGGTCATTTTGTACTAAATCCTAATATTTCATTACGCAAAATTGTTGCTGCGACTGGTATTTCATTATTCTCTGTACACACAGTTACTAAACTCCATAAATTTGATCCATTCAAAATAAAAATATTGCAAGAGTTACTCGAAAATGATTTCGATAGGCGAGTAGAGTTTTGTGAACAAATGACAGCAGCGATTAATGATAACACCATTCATGTAAAGAATATCTGCTTCAGTGAATAATGCACATTTTATCTAAATGGGTTTGTTAATAAGCATAACTGCAGGAATTGGAGCAATGAAAATCCTCATGCTTTTGTAGAAGAGCATACCCAGTACCCCCAAACAATTAATGTATGGGCAGGCATTTTAGGAGACAAAGTGATTGGGCCAGTGTTTATTGATGGAAATTTGAATGGAGACATTTATTTGGATGTGCTGGAAAATGCTATCAATCCGCTTATCACTGAAATCATTGAAAACCAAATCTGAGAGGATGGAAATATACTAAGTGACATATAAATCCGAACACCCAGTTTAAATGGCTTTATTTTGATAAAATTTTGTATAAGTACTTAATGAAGCATAATAAGTAAATGATAAAAATTTCAAAATAATTGCACTGCTTTAAAGCCCTTTGACCTTTAATAATGTGTGGATGCACCCTGATGTGCTACGCATTCTCCAACGCGCCTAGGCATGCTTCTGATCAGGTGGTCAATATCCTCCTGTGGTATCTCATTCCAGGCAACCACCAACTCCTCTCGAAGTGCTTCTAGAGTCTGAGGAGGACGTTGCAAATTGAGCAATCTCCTACCCATCATATCCCACACGTGCTCAATTGGGGATAAGTCGGGAGGTCTTGGTGGCCATGGTAACAATGTGACATCATTATGTTGAAAGAAGTCTATTGTGACTCTTGCAACATGTGGTCGGGCATTATCTTGTTGGAAAGTTATATCTACCAGGGTGTCAAGATAGGGTAAAAGATGGGGTTCTAGAACTTCGTGGATATAACGCTGCGCGTTCATGTTACCTCTGATGAAGATTAAAGGTGACCGGGAACCATAAGCTATAGCACCCCAAACCATAACTCCAACATGTCTTTCAACAAAAAACTGTGAATTCCTCCTTTCACCACGTCGCCTTCTAACCCTGGCACGACCATCGTGCATGCCTAAACAAAATCGAGACTCGTCACTAAAGACAATACTGTTCCATTCCTGATCCCAGAGTGACCGTTGTCTGCACCACTCAAGGCGATTACGTCGGTGTTCTCGAGTTAAAGGGGGACCCAGTGTGGCCGGTATGAAAACAAGCCAAAACTTCTCATTTGTCGGTAAACACTTCGCATGCCAATAGGTCTTCCGTGTTCTGCAAACCATTCATTTGCAATGGACCTGGTAGTGGAGAAACGGTCCCTTAAGGCCAATAATCTTAGGCGGCGATCTTCACGGTCTGTTGTTCTACGGCGGCGTCCAGTGCCCCTTGCTCTTTGCGTACGGCCTTCTCGAAGCCATGCCTGACAACACCTAACCACAGTCTCTACACTTCTTTGCACTCTAACTGCAATTGCCCGAAAAGAAAGTCCAGCTTCCCGAAGTCCCACTATACGGCCCCTATCAAACTCACTAAGTTGACGAAATTGTACAGGTCTTCGTACTCTAGGCATCGTAACCGATCGTAAAGGATGTCAAGAACCAAAATCCGCCAACGTTGATTCTTTACTGCGGCTGAAATATTCATTTTTAGAGCGTTAGTGAATTAAAAAAAGCAGTACAAAAACCGGAATGTCCAACTGATAAGGCTGAAAATTTTTTCACTTCTTATTTACAGTAAGATGAATACATTCACCAACTTTTATTAAAATAAAACCATTTAAACTGGGTGTTCGGATTTATATGTCACTTAGTATACTATACTCATGAGGCTGGAATTTATTTCCGCGCTCCTCCTCACTATGTACTTTTGGTTCGGCAGTGCCTAGATGACGAGTTTCCAGATAAATGGATAGGGCGAAGAGGGCCTATAAATTGGCCTGCTAGATCTCCTGATTTGACGCCATTAGACTTTTTTCTATGGGGTCATTTGAAATCTATTGTATTTACTCTCCAACCTGAAAGTATGGATGAACTTCGTCAACGCATCAGCGAAAGCTGCCATGATATCCCACAACATATTCTTGAAAATGTCCGTCAGGAATTTGAACATCGCCTATATCATTGTTTGGCCAAAAACGGACAACACTTTGAACACATATTGATATAAAAAGTGATATTTTCGTGTGACTTTGTTTCCTATCTGAACAAGTTAAGATAAATAAAGGTTTTTCTAATTATCTTAAATACGAATCGGTCGATTTTAAAAAACGTCAAAATAAAGGACTTTCAAACAAGCTATAACTCGGTACCCCTTGCCACTTAAAATTTTTAAGAGGATAACCGTGAAGAGCAGAGGGTGGAAAGAGGAGAAGTAAGTTTAGGTTAAAAAAAATTCCCTCTTGACAAATGTTTTGACGTGTCTTGGTGTTTCTTATTTTAATCAGTGGTTTTCAATAACTCCGTAGTGGGAAGTTTTCAAGTGAACACCCTGTATCGAATTATGATATACTTTAGTTTTAAGGACCTTAAGTAAGTAAAATGTAGAACTCATACATACGGTTTACACTTGAAAAAGTTTCCAGGTTCACGGCGCAATATTTTTAAATTGTTAGTTCTTTTGATAGCATCAGAGAGATGTACAGAGTCAACCTACTTTTTTAAGTATGGTTTGCATTCAGGAAAATTTGTTTCTCACTACATTTTCACCATCGCCTACAAAACTTCTTTCTGGGTGTTCACAGCGTATCTCTGCATTAAATGTAAAACAGAATAATGTAGGCATTCCAATTTCGTTCGATTAAATGTGTACCGGAGCATAAATTCCTTTTTAAAGGAAAAGGGGAATTAAAATTCCGTGAGCGTGGAGTAAATGCAACTTTGTCTCGTTTCCGTGAAGTAAATGGACTTGGACATTTCATACAAAATAAACACCCACGCAAACTCCTTAAGAGAAACAATGTATCAAGACGAAACTTTTAAAACTTCTTTACGCCCAACTGATATAATTCAGGAGATTAAGATCAAACGTGTCGGTTTGTATCAATAAATTTCAACTAAACGTACAAAGCTGCAAGTGCCGTAAATTTCTTAATTATTTAAGAGCCCGGAAGTTTCATTCGCTCGGTTGTCAAACTTTAAAAATCCTTTCGCCGTTTGCAGTTAAGATAAAGCTTTATGAGATTTCACTTAACAGATTGATTTAGTGGCACAGTACGTTATCAGTATCGTTTTAGTCAGGAAAAAATGGCGTCAAGTAGGTTGACTCTGCACTTCACACTCAATACCGTTATCCGTTCATAAAGGATTATGCTTAGCACAAACTTAATCATTTGCGAAAAAAATTAGTCAAACAGGTCGATACAATTAGTCTATAGACATTCTTTCCCGGCCCCCCAGTATTGCATCTGGCAATGTCGCCTCTCCCCGATACCCAACCCGGTCAAACGTGGCAGCGCGGTCTCAGCACAGGAAACACTATGCTGTGGCGCGGCAGTAACGCGTGTAATACCAGAACACTTACCAAAGCCGATGACAGAAGAGCGGACGCAGTCGGTAGGTATGCGATCTGTATGCTAAGTTTTAAATGTTTTAAGGGCTATTGAACGGAAAAATCTATGATGTGTCGTATATGTCTAATCGATGCGTAGAATTGCCAAGGTTGCGAGCGTATAAATATACTAACATCAAAAAAATTGAGATGCACCCTTCCCACCCAAAACGGAGTTTGAGTAATTTTATTTTTTTTCGTTTGTTGGCCTTTTTCTCCGCCGTCACGGTAACGATTTTAAAAAACACGAAGCTTTTGCGTTCTTGGTACAGTAGTAACATCTTGTAAAAATTCTATCAAAATCAGAGCGGTACTTCTCAAGTTACAGGCAGTTATAGGATTAGAGGGCAGAAAGACGGAAATAATATTCAGAAAACAGAATACCCCATTTTCGAAATTTTTAGCAGCTACAGTAGGTTTGGAAAGTAAAATTACATGCGTTAAAAAAGAAATATACCGGAAAGGTTTGCACTGAAGCAACTTATGATAATTGGTATTTTGATCATATAGACACTGGCGTCAAACACTTTAAGTGCTGTAGTTTTTTGAATGAGCTGATACTACCATTTTGGCTAGTTGCTTTTTTTTTATTGGGCACACGTGAATGATAGTTCGGTTCAGTTAACTTTCTCCACATTTTCTTGATTTTCAATAAAATATGCAAATATCAATGAAACACGCTCGGAAGATTGGTTGACATCCTGTAATCTGAAAAGACAGTCAAAATATACTACTCGTCGTTGCTTCTCAAGGCGGTCCGGAGGACCTTAGCCTTTAGGTCATAGTAATTGTAATGTCAGTGTCTGTCGTCAGTCTGTCAGGTCTAGTGGCCCAGAAGTTGTGGTTTAAGGGGTGGAGGGAGAAAGAAACGAAGGAAGTAGGAGCAAAAAGAGAAAGAAAAGGGATTGTTTTATGTAGATATTTGAGATAAGATAGATACATTGTACTATATAAATTTTTGACTTGTACTGAACTGAATTTTGGGTCTGCGGTTCTTAAAAACGATCATTTTTAAAGGTCTGAATGTGAATTTA